ATATATATACACATACATACATGTAGACACGTTTTAAATGCATAAATATGTTGATTACAACATGAGTTAGTGTGCTACAGTATGAATTCAACATGATATGAAATATGGTAACATAATACTATAAGACATGACGAGACAAGGGTCTGAAGAGCTCTCTGTGCATTGCCTGGCGCTCTAGACCCTCTGGGTGCATCGGCAGAGAGAGAGAGAAAGAACACAAGATAGCATAAGGTGATGCAAGTAAAACAACCCAATAAAACATATATATATATATATACACACATATGTGTACGTACATGTATTATGCTTACGTGGATATGTTCGCATGTATCTCTATCATTCTCTATCTCTGTTTCTGTCGCTATCTCTGTCTATACCTATGCCTTTATTTATATATATATATATATGTACATATCTATATACATGTACGTGTGCAGACGCATGGCTAGGGCTCCGGGTTCCGGGTCCCCGCCCCGCACCCACTCTCACTACAGAAAATTAGCTTACTAGAGCTGCAAACTGGACCGTGTCGTAACTGGCCCCACGCCTCCGATAACGGGTCCTATTGTACTCAGACGGCGCTTATTCCCTGAGTTATGTTTGTTTGGTAGCAAAAAGTATCTTGCGAGTGTTTGTCGGTCAGTTTATCTGCAGAACTCTCACACAGCTTAAGCTTCAGGGTTCGGGGCTTAGGGCGATTTTGAATGTTGAAGGTTGGTGTGGGGCACCATGAGACCAGAGAGTTTTCACCATTTGTACTTCTGTCACTGTTACCTGTGCTATTCATGTCGCTATGACATGCATACTGTTATGGTCCTCGTTTAAATTCCACGATTAGTGGCACCCTTGTTGTGCTGGAGATTCCCAAATGTTGTAATGATGGGGTGGCGGTTGGATTTCGGTGTGCAAAGCCCTCCTTGCTCAATTGCAAAGGACAGAGTTAACATGTGAGAGCTGACGATCTAAGCAAGAGCAATGCGCTGGTCATGCCCTTGTCTTTTCATGCAGGAGATGTGACTGGCCGAGCTTCGCTGACGAAACTGGTTGTTCACGCCCCAGCCGTCAGATCCGCACATATCCGCCCTTAGAGCGCCAGAGAGCACAGTGTGACGAGACCTCAGCCAAGCCAGGATGGATTGGCAAGCAAGGCTTGTCCGAAAAGGCACCTCGCTTCTTCCATTCCGTGCGGGCCTTGGATGCTCTTCTATGGATACCTTGCGCAGGCCGCCAGCAGGGGAGCTTGTTCTGGCCGAGGAGCAGGCCGGGAAGGATACTGAGCACCGTACTTCCTCCACCCGATGCTCCGCGTCTCTGTCTTCCTGCCGTGCACAGCACAGCAATGCCAGTTGCACGGCGAAAGTCCTGCAGTATCGTCATGATGCTGGCTGCACGGCTGCGTAGATATCCAGATTCATTGCAAAGGCTCTAGCGCCATCCACGGAAACGGGAAGTACAGGACAGCCTGTCGCAGTTGGTTGGTTCGGTCGCTTGAGGGTCTGATTTGCGTTCAAATTTGTCGAGCATGTCTCGAACACAGGGTGAATCTATAAAAATGGGAAGAACATCCTGCTAAGAAAAATAGCTACCCAAATAAAGTAAGTGCCATTAGGATTACTGCAGCGATTACCGGTACTGTTATTGCTAGTAGTTATAGTATTGTTACTATGCTGTAGTTGTGGTCATCGTCGTCATCATCGTCGCGTTTTCCTTCTCGTCGTCCGGATCCTGGTCCTCGTCCTCGTCATCGTCCTCCTCATCGTGCAGCAGCAGTCAGCAGCATTGAAACTGCTGTTATGTTTTAAGCCTACCATGATCACTATCGGATACCATCGCTTCTGCCGCGGCTGCATCTCCTACTCCTCTTCTACTCCTACTCCTACCACTCCCCCTATTCCTACCCCATCTGTGCATCGCAGCTAGTCGGCAAACACATTCACCTGTAAATTCTCAGGGCAACTCATCCGAGTCATCGAACATCAGGAGTATTAGTCCTTGACATGAATGCGACTAAGAAGCTAAAAGGAAACAAGCACACATGCTGATATGTTGAGATATACAGATATAGCCCTCGTTTACTGGAGGCTTGCTTCACTCCTATTTTTCCTAGATGGTCCGGACAGTGTGTATGTGCTTTCTTTGAAACTCATGCAAGGAATCCGTGGCAACGAGGGCTCGGGAGTGCAGTTTCTGCTGCCTGGCCCGTCCCAGCACTCAGTCGTGGCTCATGATTTTACATGCGGCTGCGAGGGGTTGAATGCTTCAGCATTACATCGGACTCGAACGTCTCTTGCCGAATTGGCGTTCCGAGGGAGTCCCCTGTTCTGTCATGACATCAGGAAGACGCCGTTGCATGTCGTCCGCAGGTGGGTCCAAATAGCAGGGTGAGCAGATGCTGCATGCAGGCATCCATGAGGCGGCGAGCTGATCTCGCATCAGCCCGAAGCAAACGTTTTCGCAGTAGCAAGAGGAGTGAGACAGGGACGGGGTGTGGTGAAGAGCAGACAGCACCGGAAATCACTTCTTTCGTGGCGGAGGGACCTCAGAAACGGGGGCTGTGCCATGGCGGCCCGGTTCCGCGAGCTGCTACATCAGCTTGGCCAGGAATACGAAACACAGACAAGCGAATTGCGGAAGCTCCGACGTGAAGTACAGAGGTTGGGTGGTGTCCCTCAGCTGAGACAGTCTGTCGTTTTCTTCTCTCATTTACCTACTTCAAGTCTGCCTTGAGGATGTGGTGGTCGCACCCGAATCGTCGCCAGCTCCTCCGTTTGTGATGGATCCTCCAGGCCTTTCCCTATTCGTCCTGGGAGAGCCAAGTGGCTTCTACCTGTTTATGGCCTATGCTCTTCTTTCGCTCTCTTCGGATTCTTGTAGTTCGCACCACTCGGACATGCAGAACTTCTGTAGAGATCATACCAACCGTCGGCTGCCAGGATCCGTGCCGATGAGCTCGTGGGACGTTCGCTTTGCTGGTGCCCAGGGTGGATACCTGGTGTAAGACTTGTCTGGAAAAGCGGTAATTCACCTTGACCCAAAGGGTGGCATGAGCCCGGCAAAGCGCGCATGACTGTTTGCAGTGCTGATTCGGGCTAAGGACACAGCGCAGAGTTGCAAAGCGTTGGGCTCCGACATGCCTCACGGAGCCAGATAGACCCTCGTTCGCAGCTAGCACAATGCAACCTGTGGCCACCCAAGTCCTGGCGTGAAGCCATGTCAGATCATTTCAGTCCTCCAGCATTCCGGCATCCCAGACGAGAGATGTGAAGGTGTGCCGCCCTGCCCTGCATGCGTCTGCAAGCAAGGCCTCAGAAAACAATGAGCTGGGCTTGAACCGCAGCTTCATGGATTCGGGACACAAGCATGACTTCGTCGAAGAGATCAAGGCCTGACTCCGGCCGCCCCAGTCCAGTCGCTTCGGAAGTCTCGGGCATTCATCTTATACCCCTGTTGCAGGAGCTCCCAAAGCTGCCGTCGAAAACGTCAAGAGCTCCGCCAAACAAATTCAGCAAGACCTTCACTCGACAGGTGAGTGCCGGGTCGGAGCCCGTGGAGGCGCAGCCCAGACAGGGCGTGTCATAACCGTAGCGTGAGATCATCAAGTGCTGGTAGCAAGGACCTGAACAAAGCTTACAGTCTGGTGGAGGTAGAGCTCACAGTTTCAGCGAGGGTGCCGGAAACCCTCCATGATGAAAGGCAGCACGCGCTAGATGGCGATTTTTTTTTGTTGTTGTCGTCGCGGGGTTGCTATTTCCGGATGTGAGTCATTGGACAGAAGACGGACCTGGCGAGTTCTAGATGCAGGGCTGCGCAGAGGCAAAGGAAAACGATTTCCTGGCCTTCTGTGACGAACAAAAGCTTGGGCTAGGGAGGGGGAGGGGGGGAATGGTGCTGCCGCCCCTGGACCCACCTTGAGGAGCTTGATTGGGGGGCTGTAGAACACTTCATAAGATCTCACGCAGCTTGACCGGAGAGTTAGCAGCTTGGCTTCCGTTGGAACCGTGAGATTCTAGCATTCTAGCTTTTGTTCTTCGCCGCCCTTCCTCGGTCCTGCATTTGCGAGGGCGGGAAGGATGACAAGGAGATGAAGTTCTCCATCTTGCGGGCCCAGAAAACGAAAAACTACATCTACTCAAAGCGACTGAGATTTCAAACATGGGTTCCGACTTGATGCTTGTGTATTTGGCAGTAGGTTGATCTTACATGTCACGGCCTCTAGAATCATCGCGGTCGTGCCATAACGCCAAACCAGAGTCAGAGTGCCCGACTTCGTTGATATCGGCAGCCAGCCGATTTCCGGGCAGAACAGCTTGCCTTGCGGAAAGGGCAGCCACTCTCCGGAAGTAGTCTTGTTCTGTCGTGGAACGTAGCTCTGCGGTCAGCCCAGGCCGTGGTACATCATCAATCCTGATCGCAATGCTGCGGCATCCGCATGGCAGGCAGCGTGGGTCCAAAGTCTGAGCAGGGCTGCGCAGCTGTTACCCGCACGCAGATGGTCGTCGGCGTGTGCTTGATCTTTGTGGCCGTTGTCGCTCTGGCTGCATCAGACTCAGATTCAGAAGAGTAGTGGAGCATGCGTTGAATCTTCCAAACATCGCTGAACTCATACGAGTGCTTCCTTTCTGCAGATCACGTTTCGGGTCTTCCGAATCTGGCAGGGCCCGGCCCGGTGTGGCGGAGTACATGGCCCAATATCGGGTACCCATAGCCTCCTTTGTAGTTCCTTTTTCTGGTTAAACCAATTTTATGTTTAGGATCCTATAAGGGAACCACCAAAAAGGCACTACAATGGAGACTATAGGTAGTTCCGAAACGGAACGATAAGACAGAAGTCCCGGCCTTGCTCGGCAGGTGACGCCCTTCCAAGTGGCTTTGCTGGATCTCGAAATAGATGCGACGCTTGGGAGCAACTTGAGCAGTACGAAAGAATCTGGCACAAGTATGAGCTAATGGCATGTAGTCGTACATAATGCAAATGAATGACTGCATCGATGAATCGATGACCCAATCAATGAATGAATGAATGAATGAATGAATGAAATGAAATGAAATGAAATGAAATGAAATGAAATGAAATGAAATGAAATGAAATGAAATGAATGGATGAATGGATGAATGTGTGTATGTATGTACGTACGTACGTACGTACGTACGTACGTACGTATGTATGTATGTATGTATGTATGTACGCATGTATGTGCTGCATGTATGTGCATTTGTATGAAATCTGAAAAGGATGAACGTATGAATGAATGCATGCATGCATGTATGTACGCATGTATGTGTGTATACACGTGCATGTCAATGTAGATATGCAGGTATATGTATGAACACTATCTGTGTTGTGTTCCAGATGGTACAGTACCAACCAACGTGCGCCAGCGCGCTACAGTATAAAGCACGCATGCACGCATGCATGTCTACGCGGGATCTAGCAGAATCTAGCAGAATCTAGCGGCACTATGCGGCACTGATGCAGAAACATGTACTTATTTCGGCTATGACGTCGCACCCCAGTCAGCGGCATGGTCTTCTTCACGTACCAACTCCGCTCCTCCTGAGGGTTCTCGTGATGGGCCTTTGCGTGGACTTCGTGTGGCCATGGCTGAGATGGAATTTCATGTCTGGGTCTAGTAGCATAGTAGCATCGGACTCCCTGTAAAGCTGAGTTCTTGCCTTGTTCCAGCCAAGTTGCAAGTCGACAGTTTGGTGTTCCTTCGGTGTTTAATGAAGGTGACTTTGGACCTTTGGTAGCGCCTCGAAGGTTTCTCATCGACATGGTTCTTCAATTTTTTACTACCTTCCCGAAGTCGACCACTCATGGCATCGTCTGGGAAGTGCGCTTGGGGAAGATCTGGTGGCACTATTTGATGCTTTGCTGATTTGGGCGGGCGCTCCGAAACAGGTTTGGAACAAGTGCTCCACCAGACGAGCACTTGGAACTCCTGAATTTTCGTGTGGCTTTTGTCTATAGAAAGACATAGCATGACATAGCAGTTTTAAAGGCTTCCAGCGAGGATGAAGTTCGACAGCACAGAGTTCAGGCACTCCTGATCGCAACAGGGTTATGAATCTGCCAAGCAGTCGCCCACAGGAAGTCCTGGTTCGTGCTCGACCTGGTGACCCTCATCCCCTTCGATTTGTTCACGCTGGCGGTTCAGTCGGATCAGTTGGATGAGCTGCAGAGCCTGAAGGTGTTACTCGGCCATGGCCATGACTTCCGGGTGCGTCTGAAAGGAGCCCTGAGCACACGAGAGCGCAAAGTGCGCCATGTAAGGACCCTTTGGGGGCTAGAGAAAGAAAGACCTCCGACATATATTCCGTTCAGTGCAGGTGAGCATGACTGAGCAAGTCATGTGGAAACAGGTTTGTGCATGTCGCTGGTAAGGTTTCGGACGCTGCGACTTGTGAAGATCATGCGCCTGGCCAAGTCCTCTCAGCACCCGAGCTGAAAAGTGTAGCGCATGCAGCCAACCTGCCGCTTTAATGCAGCTCCGATCGCACAAGATGTGATTCCTGCTTAGTTCGTTCGCTCCCCAAGCCGTGAGAATTCAAATCATTTTGCTGACTTGGCCAGCGTCCTGCGGAGTCAAAGTTGCGGTTGCGCTTGAGACGATAGTGGCCAACCCCTGCCGCCCCCAAACTGGGATGCCACGGTGTACTGCAATCCTATTCTTCTCGAGTCTTTCGAATCAGTTGCAGAATCACACCAAGGTTCATGCACAAGATCGAAGTTCCGCTGTCTATCCCGTACCAGCAGATGGCTCTGACACGGTGCTCGGGTTGGAGTTCTGGCAAGTCTGAAAGCCTTGCTACACAGCTCTAGACCCATAAGTTTTGCCTGCCGTGTGCGAGTGTGACAGTCGAAACCCGAACACAGTGTCACAGTGTGGCCTAGTAAGCTAGGCAGAAGGCAAAAAAAGGTCCTGCTTCAGACAACGCTGGATGCAGAAAGCCAAAGCCTACCACAAAGCTACCAGCAACTACAGTAGTGTACCTTGTCCGAAGGGGTCAGTTTTCGGTCGGACCACTCTGTATTGGGAAGCTATGAGTATGTCTACAGTAGAGTCTTCAGCCTGGTGGTCGTCTTATGTCTGCTAGAGCCGAAGCACGGTAGCCCTTTCTCTCCCTTTCTCGTTTTCTCTGTGTCTCTAGCTTTGTGTATTCTGTATGGTGTGTATGTTTTCGACGCAATACGAAGGCCAGTGTTTGATGAAGCACACACACACACATGCCTTGACACACATACACCTATGCACGCACGCAGGCAGGCAGGCAGGCAGGCACGCATGCATACACAATTTTCGAGCGTGCATGTGTCGTCTATAGGTACATGCGTAATGCAGGATGCTGGGGCCGAGGTTTTTGCTGATCCTTGCCTTCGTGTGCCACTGGCTCGCGTGCTTGTGGGCCATGACTTTGGGCCTGAATGAGGAGAGCCTGGGCATTTTCTCGTACTCCCGAAAAAAAACACAGCAATGTCCCCATGGCCCATTCAGTAGAGATCCTGAACCCAAAGCCTGAACCCAAAATCCTTTCAAGTATCCGAGCTCGCGACTCTGATCGAGAAGTCTTATCGGCCAAAGGCAGCGGGAAGTTTCTTCGAAAGTTAGTAGGGTTGGGGCGAAGGTTACGAGGTTAAGGCTGGCGGAAGGACAACATCCCCACCTGGATCGACGGCATTGAAGCAGAAGATCTGGCTTTGGGGATTCGGACTCGGGACTCTCCTTGGCGAGTGTACCTGAGTTCCTTCTATTTTTGCAGCTACACCCTCACCTCCGTGGGTTATGGCGACATTGGACCAGCCAATATTCTTGAACGGTTCGTTTGCTGCGTCGTGATCTTGTCTGCGGGCTTGGCGTGGGCATATGTCATTGGCGAGGTGGCCGCCATCGTCCATGACCTGACAGCCGAGAGCCATGTCTTCAGGAAGCGCATGCACCACCTGAACCTTATGATGCGAGACCAAGGGCTTCCACACGACTTGTGCTGCCGCCTGCGAAGCTTCTTCCTGCAGAACCGACATCAATCCCTGGTGATGGCTCGCCAAGCTCTCTTGGAGCGGATGAGCCCGCAGCTACAGTCGGAGGTGTGCATTGCTACCAACTTCGCATGGCTTGAAAAGGTGTACTTTTTCAAGAAGTTCATGACTTTTATCAGAAAGCAGGAGCGTTTGGGCATGCATACCGAACCCTATCAATCATGTGTGGCACACATCTCGAAAATGCTTTCCTTTGGAGCCTTCGCGCAGCGAGAAGCCTTCACAAATGTGCAAGCGCCACGTTCGCACTGGTAACTTTTGCTCGTGACCGTGGCTTTGTTGTGATCACTCTCTGAACAGGAAAGATGCCTGTCTTGCATCACGGTGAGGTGCTCTACATCTTGTCCAAGGGCTTAGTGGCTTTGAACAGCAGGGTCCGATCCCACGGAGAGGTCTGGGGCGAGGACTTTGTGCTGTGGGACTCTCTGCGACTGTAGTTCAGGATGCTTTGGTGCGCGGTAGGAGTTGCGTTCTATCTCCCAAGCAGCCTCAAGCGACCACCGCGAATCTTGCCATCCCTGCCAAGGATACGTCTCTCATACACCCTGTCACCGGCTACACTCTCACATACGTCGAGGTTCTGTCTTTGTCTCGGGAAGACCTCATGCAGCCGGTCTGCACATCAGACACCAGGGTATCAGATGTGAAGCAGGGTATTCACTCAAAGATGCTGAGGCACGTGATTCATGAATGCCGCTTCACCAGTCCGGAACTGGGTCAGTATCTCGAAGCAATTTTGCACAGCTTTGCACAGCTTTGCACAGCTTGGGTTTAGGCCAGTTCCCACCTGACCAGGGGCTCTCGAGCCATTCCAATGCTTAGACAGCAAAGGATCGTGCGGCGCTACTGCGTGCGAATCGCAGTCTATCGTGGCGTTCTCAACGAGGAGACCAGGGAGATCAAAAAACGACAGGGTGCTCGATCGTGACCACTACATGACTGTTGGAATCTTTGGTTGTGCGTGTGTCCATCGCTGTGGCCAGTGTGTAGTGCGGAGTGGTGCCTGCAGGCGCGACGCCTCAAACGCCAGATGATGAAGGATAGCGCATCCGACTCGGCGGCGAGCAGAGTCCAATCTGAACATGCTTGAATGGCACGCGAACTGAGGCGATACGAGGTCAGCCTGTGCAACCGCCCAGTTCACCAAACCAAAGTCCGAAGCCGCCGGACACCAGCCAGCCTGCGAAACTTGGCACAAAAGTTATGAGCAGGGCAAGGCATGAAGAGTGCAGCGCACGGTTCGTGCAGGTCAATATGTGTCTCGACAGTCCTTTCCCTCGTAGACATTACGGCGACGTGAAGCCAGCCCGCAACCAAGGATGGCTGAACCATTTGGACCCCCTGGAGCATTGGAAAACTAGTTCAAACGTTCAACTTGGGTTACTAGGCATGGAAGAGAAAGAGGGCTTACTTAGCTTACTTGAAACAGCTGCAGGACAATATAAACAAAACGGTGGGGAAAGTAGCATAGTTATGGTTAGGAAGATGCTTAAACTGGCTCGAACAAGGGTTTCACCTGCACAGCCTGCTGGGAAGATCAGTTGCTACCGCTGTGCAGAGCAATGGCTTTCTGTAGTGCATTTCCTGTGCGCAGATGATATGGCGAGTTTTGTGCACTCTGTTCGTCCTCGGCCAAATGCTGTCGCGAACGCTTTTAAGTCAGGCGCACGCCTGTCGTAGCTAGAAGCAATGCCAACATGCCACCATTTGGCGTCGGAACACAGCATTCTCAACATGAACGCATGGAAAGAGACAGCCAGTGTTCGTCAGACCTTGATCAAATGCATCTGCGGGGTCACGAACTCATGGGTAGTTACGTAGTCGATCTGTGCTCACACGACCACGACATATTCAACAGTGGTCTATCATGATCTGGAAAGGCAACCCAGATCAAACCGTTCATAAACCATAGGCTCTTCAGTGGTACCATGGCCCCCGCCCTCGTGTGCATAAGAACCGTGATTGTAGAATTCTAGAATATCAGCCAAAAGAGAAGCATGTCGGCAGTGCTGCTCTGCGGAATTGCAGGCAGCAAGCAGCGATTGCTGAGTTTATCGTAGATGGCTGGCCCGAACGGAGGACGAGGAGTCAGGCAGCATGAACCAAGCTGACCACAGCTCCATGGAAGAATTCCTCGTCTTCAGAGTGTTGACCTGTGTAAGGGAGACAGTGCATGTGGCCGCCTGAGTCTGGACTACCTCCGTCGGTTAAAGCCTGCATGCGAAGAACACTGGCCCGTGGAAAATGAAGCCTTCGTGCGGTAGGGGTGTCATTCGGAAGTTTTGTAACCTTCCCGTGTGTGCCTCGCACCATCGGGGCTGCTCCAGGTCATGGGGTTCCTACGTTTCCGGAACATATGCATCGCTTCCCCTCAGGCATCCTCAAGATGCAGCTGTTTGACTAGACGTCTCAGCCACGATTGATTGCGGTGGCATCGTAATCCGCAGGGTGCCTCCAACAATGATACAACCCATGCCGACCTGCGACGGCAATGCAGTGACGCAGTGTTGGAACGACAGGGCATCGGAGAATTACAACCCAACAAGAGACGTGCAAAAACACAATTATGCGCAAAGGCGAGTGACGAGTCCAACTGACTGCCTCCTTCCACGGTCACTGTTGTCTACCTTTTCGTCGCAATCTTTTCCGTGGCACGTGGTTGCGAGCCCTGCGTCGGTTTGCACGCAGTTTCAACACACTATGTCGCATAAAAAGGCATTCGAGCCAGTATAGCCATGATAGCATCGGTGAAGCCGAGGTGGCTTTTTGATGGCCACAGCTGCAGCGACTGTGCGTTTGAGTACTTGGCAAATCCATCAGGCTGGAAAGCAAAACCCTGGTTCCAATGACCCCCCGTCCCCCTAAAAGCTGTGCCCCTGACACTGCCTGACACAGGCTCCTTCAGCGTCGAGGTGTGGGCGGCCTGCAACGGGACGGTCGGCCATCAGCGGCTCGGCTCGACGCGTCGGCGTCAAAAGTGCAAAGTGCGAAATCGAAATCGGCGCAGGTGCCTTCTGGCCTCTCGGGACCTGGCCGGCAAGAAGGCAGCGGCTAAGTAGACGCTTTCAGACTGGTCTATAAGAAGAGCGCGGACGTCGAGACCTTCTCTGCTGACGCAGCTGTTTAGCGCTGTCCTCGGCGACCCGGCTTTTCCACGCCACCTGCAATGACCTGCATGCCAGCGAAGTTGTCGAAGTGCAGAAAGTAAAGCTTCGCATTGAACTGCGGTGGGAGTACCTCAACAAGAAGCAACTCAACCCGGCTCTTCCGTAACACATCGTGAGCCTGCCTACCCGGCCTGCTCGCACACTAGATGAAACACGAACATGGTGATGTGCACAATTCATCAGTCAAGATTGTCCAGCAGCTGTAGTTGCAATGTCGGGCGGGCGCCCGCAGATGCTTATGTGTGGCTTGTCTCGCACCCGAGTTTTGAACAAGTCATGCGGGAAATGAACCAGATTCCCTCCTTCACAATGTAAACTTCTGATTCTGCAGGGGCTTGAGCAGAACGGAATGCTGAGTGTTTCGGAGAGGCCTGTGGTGCGTCTATAGACTCCAGGCTACCTTTGCGGCCGTGAGTTCGGCTCGCGGTCGTTGCCGATACATGTGCCACAATGCCAGAGCCTCAGCTACATTATTACCATAAATATTGTAATACTATAATTATAGTATTACTATAATGATAGTATTACTATAATTAGAGTAACTATTACTACAGTATACCAATGCCAGAGCCTCAGCTGCGCCGCTTGGCCCCACCTGGTGCATGTCGCTTGTGGCCACAGACAAGGTGAGAAAAAGTGGTTGGCGCAGGTTACTGGCTTACAGAGAGCCGTCCAATTGCTACACAGCGATTCAGTGACTTAAGTTTTTCTCCAGCCGAGGAAAAGCAGAAACCTCTTTCTGAACAAAAGCCGTAGTCTCAGTGATTTTCTGGGCCGGGGCGGTCACGTGCGTGAGGTGTTCGGGAGCGGAGGGGAATTCCGTCGACGCTGCCTTAATTTTCGTAATCATGTTAAGGCTTTATGCCAGATTAATCGAGACTGGTGCTTCCGGAATCAGGTTTTGCAGGCTTTGCTATAGCCCTGCAGTATGCCTATATAGCACGGCACTAGGCTTTCAGAGCTTGGCATCGTCTTCTGGCGCTTGTACGGAGAAAGCGGGGCGTTCAAGGCCTGGATACAATCTCCAGGGTTTTGCTTTGAGTAGGCCCCTGCCTCCGCGACCGGAGCGTTTGGCGGCCGTCCTGGCTGGGACGTCGCTGAGCAATCAGGCCGGCTACGAGGTGGTCGGAGCTTGTCCGCCTTTGCATCACCTGCTACAGGACCGGGCAACGTTCAACGAGGAGACCTCGCTGCAGTTTTGAGGATTTTGAGGTGCTTTAAAACCAGATGCGGTAAGAGAGGAGATGTACAACAACTATGACCAGGAGGCGAGGCTCCGTGCAAACGCGAGCTTTCTAAGACTGCACCGGCCCAGGAGCGGTTCAGGAGGTTATCGTCCGTAGCAACATCTGCCATTAACGGACTTGGTGTCAGCTTGCTGTGTAGTGTCGCGCAGCTGGGGCCCCAACACTACACATTTGAAGAGCACAACGGGCTCCTGTGGTAGGTCTTGGAGAAATGTGCGTGGTGCGGCCGGACGTTTACGCCAGCCGCGCTGAAAATACATGCGAAGAGCTGCACGGAGGACATCAAAAGGTACTTAAAGGATCATGGGACTTAGTAAGTAGGCTTATAATTAGGGTAACTATACTTATAACCCCAATTAAGGGACTTATAACCTTACTTACTAAGTCCCATGATCCTCCAAGTAGCTGTTGCCTGAATTTACCTAAATATTGCTTCCAGCGACATGTGGAGGAGAGCCCCGCGAAACCTGCGGGCACTGGCCTGACGAAGGCCAGCCTCAGCAATACGATTGTGCCGGGAAGCTCGGCCGCAGTGCCATGAGCACATTAGCCTCAGTGTGTGGGGAGCAGTTATGCCCGTTCCCGTTAGCGATGCGCGGCATCGTGGCTTTCGGTAGCAGTCGGTTGCCAGCTGAGGCAAGGTTTATGGCACCCGCTGCTCAGCTTGAACGAACGATGCTTGTGCCATTTGTCAGCCCGTCCGTCCGACATACTGTTTCGAAAGGCCTGCTCCTATCTCGGTGCTGCTAGTGTGCCTGTCGGTCAGGGAATTATCACTGGCGACCCAAGCCCAAGCTTGTTCCCACAACTGGCTGCCTCGTGCTGAGCTTCGGCCCCAATTCACCTCGCTGCAGGCCACGTCGGAAGCCAGAATCTGAACGCTTGCCTTTCGTCGGAAGGGCTCGGCGCCCCACAGGAGACGCGATTAGGGTCCCGGGACGGCGTCACTGAGCACAGGTACATGGACATGCAACACGCCAATATGTATGGGGATAGGAAGATAAACACAGGTGTATAATATATGCGTATATATACGTGAAAGGAAAGAAAGAAACATATATATATATATATATAGAGAGAGAGAGACAGATATACACATGAAATGCACATGCGTATACATGTACATGCATTTACATAAAATACATGAACGTGTCACCATGTGTCTGTGCATCAAGCTGCATGCAGGTGTGTGTGTGTGTGTGTGCGCGCGCTTGCGCGTATACATCTGGTGTCTGAAAATGCCAACTGCCATCTCTCCGTCTGTTTCTCATCCTGTTCCTTCCCTCCCTCTGCCTCCCCGCCTCTGTCCCTCTTCCCTCTCTTCCCGCAAGTGTCTGCCTCCCACCCCCTCATCTACTCTCATCAATTTACTTGTACAATACGAAAGCATGTATGTATGTATGTATGCATGCATGCATGTATGTGTAGGCATGTCTGCATTGCATGTATGTGCCAAGGTGCGTTTGTACATGTTTGTACAAATTCACGACAGTAGTAGTTCTAAAGGCATGCACAAATGCGTTCAAGTATATGTAGTGTCGTAGAATCCATGTGCGTGCGTATTTGAGCTGGTGCAGACAGGGCCGCACTCGGTTGACTGTCTGTATGCAGTGGCGTAGATGTAAGCTGGCTTGTGTAGAGGGAACCCGGCAGTGCAGGTTGGGATGCAGTGACGGACGTACTTCTCACAGCCCCGTTTTGCGCGAGCGAAGTATGGTTGATGGGCAAACATAGATAGCTTTACACGAAATTTGCGACATGTTCCCGGCACGTTTGGCTGCCGGCTTCCGGCACTTCAAGACCAACTTGCAGGATGTACGGGCCATGTCTCCGCAGAGGACACTGTCGCCCATGCGCCGGGCAGCCTCTGCAAAGCGGACGCTGAAACTGCACCCATTCATGTAGCATCCGTTCCCGAAGTGTCAGTGGCAACATCTGGCAGCTGAACTAGGATCCGAGCCGGAAGCAAGGGCCCGATGAAGGCACGGTCACTTTCGCCGCAGGATCCCGAAACCCTCCCAAGAGAGTGCTCATTGTTGATCAGGCACCACCTGTTACACCTCCGCCGCCTGCAGCGCTCCACGGCAAGATCTGTAGAAGCCCTCCATTGATAGAGCAGGCAAACGACGAACACCGTTGGAAAGCAGCTGAGGCTGTTGCCGGCGGCGTCGCCGGTTTGTATTTACAAGCAGGACAGACACTGCCGGCATGGACGATGACTCGCTGTAGCCTTCCAGGTCTTCCCTGCTCAGCCCAAGAGCAAGCAACGTCACCCATTCTTGCCCATGCACTGCACAGACCCGCTGCGCCGACTGCACACTGAAATCCATGAAGTTGTCCGAGCTGTGAATGCAGGAGCCCTCGCCCGTCCTTGGCGTTTACACGCCGGTCACACCGGGCCAGCCACCGCGGGCCCCAGTCGTGTTGCTCGCCTTGCCTGGGTCCATTCATGGTTTGAGAGGGCTCGCCATGGCGTGACCATGTCTGCATGAAAGGTTTTGAAAGGTCATCAAGTTACTCTAGACTGCCATCATGGCACAACGGGTTTAAAGCGTTGTGCCGGCCAGCTACATGATTTCTCCACCCAGTTCGTTTGGTCGTGGCCTCTTGTCTTGTACAGTTTCGGAGCTTGCAGGGTGTGGAGCAGCGTGACGCCTGCACCGCTTGCAGCACCCAGCACAGTGGCCACACCTCCTGCGGCGGTGGTACCCTGCACGGCGGTGAGCGCCTTGCAAATGATTTCAGTGGTTTGCCTTTCTTCGGAATCACTTCGCAGTAATTCGGAAGCTTCCATGCAAGAAAGACTGGTGGAGCTCCTGAGGCACGCCGCCAAAAGTCCAGACACCACGAAATCCAGGCCATGCTGGAGGAGCGCCTGAGAGATGGTTCTGGGACGTTCTGGGGGTGTCAACGTCGAAAGTCTTCACGAGTCTGTTTGGGCAGAAGAGCATCGCCATGAACGCGCCAGAGTTTCAGCCAGGACCTGTCCAGAGCAAAGCCGCGAACTTCTGCTCTGACTGCGGAATGCGCTTCGTTCCGTCGGCGAAGTTTTGCCACGAGCCTGCTCTGCATTGTGACACACACGGTCACCTTGATCCCTTCTGCCGGCCTCATGCCTGTGCCTCATGCCTGACACAAACATGTCTACAAGCCAAAGCCACGAAGAATCGCGCTTGCGGCTTGGAGCGCTTGGTGTGTCAGATTGCGCCAGCGACATGTCGGCACAGACTTGGGCCAGCTGCATGCGTGCTCTCGCAGAAGCCTAGGAGTGCGGCGCTTTGCGCCCGGGGGCAGAGCCACCGAAGAGGACCAAGTTCTGCTACACCTGTGGCGCGCGAAGCACCAACTGGAGCTGCCGGTAATGCTGGGCCACATCTGGTCACCCTGGCACGGGGAACCTTGTTGCCACGCAGGGCTGGAGATCGGTCCTGCCGTTCCAGGGCTTATTCAGGTTTCACACTACGGCATGACTGGTAAGTCCAACGAGGCCCGTTCGTCGAGTTTCACGCTGATTTAGGCTGTGCCACCTGAGCGCTCAAAGCATGCCCTCCGTCAGAAGGAGAGAGAGCAAGCGCATGTCGGTGAGACAGAAACCGTTCAGAAGCTTGCAAGGTAAACTACCGAACTACCGGTGACTAACAAATCAATAGTTCTGGAACACCTGGTCAGGCTGGCTATGCCTTCTATGTGGAGCCCGAAGGCGTGTGGTCATTCTGGGCCTCTCTTCCGCACTGGCTTGTGTTCGATGCCTCAAGACGCTCGCGGCTTGAAGCAAAAGGGCGGAGCCATGCCGAAGAGAATGGCGCGAGTTGACACTGTGCTGCTGGCATGACAAGGTTGGCACGGCCAAGAGATGGGAGAAGCAGTGACCTCAGGGTTCCGGCTGGTTGATCGACTTCTGCGCCGATTCCAGCATGGCGGCAGCACCAGCTTTTGCGTGCATACTACTAATACTACTACACGACCCTGAGATTCTCTTTCTAGGGTCTTTGTTGAGGGTTCGCCTCTTTGAGGAGAATGCTGGATAGTGCAGAAACCAGTCGAGAGACGGATAGCAGGCTCTATGGCTCCAAAGTGGAGCTGGGGAAGTGGCCAGCGCCCTCAGAACGCCACACATGGGTGGTTGTCAAAATTAGGGTCCCTTTTTGGGTCCTTATTATAATACGGCACCTATTATTTAGGATACCCCAAAAGGGACCATAATTTTGACAACTACCCACATACCAGAAGTGCTGTTGTTTACCGGGCTCCATGTGCACGATCGCCATCCAACTTTCTGAGCAACCTTTGAGCACCTCGGCACATCCCGATGTCCAGCTGCCAAAAGCACAGCTGCATGCGACAGGGGCTGGGCAGCCAGGAAGAAAGCGTGGTAGCTTTGCCCTTTTCGAGCTTTCATTCTTGCATGAAGTAGAAGGCCGAGCTCTTTGAGTTGTTCCGCCCCACATGCTGATATGACATACCATCAACAAGTTTGTTCAATCATGAAGGGTGGAGTACATAAGCAGCAAGACAAGTAGGTGCCTCTCAATCGCAACGTCACAGTCGTCTGCCTTTGTCAGGGCGCAGCTGAGAGGCACCGTGGACATCAAGTCCAAGGAGGCTGGTGTTTGTCCTGTTCTGGGGCTTCGGGCTCGAAGCACCAAACATCCTCTGAGGTCAAACTTAAAAACCAAGCTTCTGTTTGCCTTCCGGATTCAGGGTCTTGCCTGGCCCGCGAAGCCATGCAGTCTTCAGCCCCGATCGTCACAGTCTAAACCAGCCAGGTGGGTTGCGTTACTCTTTCCATGCCAAGCGGAAATACGTGGAACTACTGCTTGGCTTGTGCTCACATGTGCCGGCAGGGCCGAGAATCAGACTCACGCAAACACACATAGCTGCCATGATCTTCGTGAGTTGCCACCTTCAAAGCGACCGGCACGGAATCCTGTGCAATGTTGTCCGGGGCTGGATGTAGCAGGGTTTCTTCGACTTGGAGGTCGTGTTGTTGTGACTATTCTGGTGGTGACCTGGTAGTGGTATCCTGAATGCTCTCCTGCTGTTGCTGTTGTTGTTGCTATTGCTGCTGTTGTTGCTTTTGTTGCTGTTGTTGCCTTTGTTGTTGTTGTGGTTGCTGCTGCTGCTGCTGTTGCTGGTGCTGGTGCTGGTGCTGGTGCTGTTGCTGTTGCTGCTCCTCCTGCTGCTGCTGCTGCTGCTGCTGCTGCTGCTCCTGCTGTTGCTGTTGCTGTTGTTGTTGTGGTTGTTGTTGGCTGGCTGGTTAGTTGGTTGGTTGGTTGGTTGGTTGGTTGGTTGGTTGGTTGGTTGGTTGGTTAGTAGGCTGGTTGGTTGGTAATTTGGTTGGTTGGTTGGCTATTCGGTTGCTTGGTTATTTGGTTATTTGGTTGGTTGGTTGGTTATTTGGTTGTTTGTTTGTTTGGTTGGTTGGTTGGTTGTGGTTGTGGTTGTTGTGGTTGTTGTGGTTGTTACGGTTGTTACGGTTGTTGTGGTCGTTGTTGTTGTTGGTGGTGGTGGGGGTGGGGGTGGTGGTGTCGTTCTTCTTTGCTTTTCACTGCTGGACTTCCTGTTGTTTAATCGATTCGTCGATCCCATGTTTGTCAGTATCTCCGCCGGACAATACTCCTGCTGATGAGGAGTGTGTGGTTCAAGAGGGGCTGGGTCGTGCGCAGGCTCGATTCTATGTTGACCGTCACCTCGTCGCCTCCCGCAGTCGCGGGCTCAGCCGGCACGCCACGTGAACATACGTTTCACGTTCTTCATAGTCGTACAGGCCGAGCACTCTTGTCGCGCCTGCAGAAAGGAGTTACAGCAAAATGACAGCAGCGCGACTGCAGAAGTGCAGGGATGTGTTCGAGCCCTCGTTGTTCCAGGCTGGGTGGACTTCGTTCCGAACACGAAGCAGCCACTTCGTTTGGATCCCAGCCGTCTTGACGATGCCGTTTTCATGGTTGAACATGTTGTCAACCAGAGTTTGGCGAGTCGGTCGTGCTGCCGGGCTGGATCTCAGGTCTTGGAGCAGGCAGATCTGAGGTGGGCCACGACGCCTGCTTGTGTTCTAACACTTGGAGATGCATGGAGTTTGGACTCTGGAATGGTTAGGACAGGAGTTTCGACATTTCTCGATTATGCCCTAAGAAGGCTGCGCGGTCAGTCTTTGTTTGTGAAGGGCGATCCCCACTTCTACTTCAATGGGGATCTCCGTGATGCGCACGCCTAAGAAGCTGTGATGCACCCGTCGCAGCAACGGCGAATTGATTCGGATGCTTGAAGCTATGTAGATGCCCGTTTCTGTCCGATTCCTGGCCAAAGGTTGCAGTGTTGGGTGGTGCCCTCGGAGCCTTGCAATGCTGTGCTGTGTAAAGGACACATCGACTCAAAATGTTGCGTAGCAGGCCGAGAGTATGTAGTTCAAACACGTGTGCTTCTTTGGCTCGCCCAAACTCAAAACCTCTGTGACAGCCTGAACCCAAGAGAACTACCGCCTAACTGGCCACGGCTCAAGCCATTCGGTGTAAACCCAACAGACGCGCGACGGCTCTTCCGACCGCGCTGCCCAGAATGGCATCTGTGGAAGCAACCATGAAGGCCATCAACGAGGCTTGCCGCTCTAAAGGCGGCCACTATGCAACGTACAGTTGCCAGGTGGTCTCCTGGGATGATGTCAGCCGCGGGACAACGGGCGGCTCCTTGTCTTGCTGGGGGGCGAACATCACGGACACCTACCTCAAGAGCAAGACTGGGCAGCGCCTCTTTACGGTGCGCAGTGACAACTGGAACGAAAAGCTGGGCGTCGTCTCTGCCGATGAGGTGGCCGTGGTAGCCTCTCGCACAGGTGGCACGCTGCAGCCAGTGACACTTCGGAACGTGTTGCAGCAAATGGGTGCTTACGGCAGCTACGCTGGCCTTGAAGGACAGACTGATCTGTCGAACGCAGCCCTAGATGCGCAGTGCTCCATTCGTTTCCAGACCACCTTCATTCCCGTGGAGGAATCCTCCGGTGGCAGAGGGAAACTTGAGTTTGCGACAGAGGCTTACAACTACAACACCACTAGCGACTCGGATCCGCGGAATCTCGTGTTACTCTGCACAAGCCAGGGCATGGCTGTGCAGCAGGACGGGCGCGGCTCAAAGAGGCTCTTTCACCACGCGGTGGAAGGAAATGGCAAGATCCACCGCTATTGGCTTGAAGCTGAGGAGAGCTCCCACAAGGTTGGCGGAGAGCAGCGGGAGTCTGACCAGGAGCGGGCCGAGGCCTTGGCTCGTGGCAAGGCCACTTCAAGCGTCATCGGCGTCCGGGCGATGGGACAGCGCTTCAACGTGCTGATGACCGTCCAGGTCCCTCTGCAGCAGCAACCTCGACGCCAGCCTCAACTCAAAGGCGGAGGTTTGCTTGCGGGTCTCTGTGCGGCGCCAGCCTTGTTCAGCAGCAGCAAGAATGCCAGCGGCGATTCGTTGGAGGCCTGCATGGAGAACGATTGTGACGATTGTATGGAAATGGAAAGCGCACCCCAGCTTCAGTCCTTGGAATTCAAGTGTCGAAGCACAGCCGTTCGGAGAAGTGCTCCTGCACCCAAAGGGCTCAGCAGCGCCGCGCGCGTCTCTCGCGGCACGGAGCACGACGTCTGGAAAGGCTTGTCCATCAAGTCGCCCAAGCGAAATGGAACCGAGCACGTGACTGTAACCGTTGTGATCTACAATGCTGTCAGAGGGGGTGTGCCGACGCCACAGGACGTCGCGGCCGCCATTGACGATCTCGAGGGCCTCTACCGCGCCTGTGCCGACACTGGCCGCCTGGCAGACACCAAGTTCGATTTCATGAAGGAGCAACTAAAGGTCGACGATATGATGGACATCACAACGAAAATTGCATTCCAACCTCCAGCAGTGGACGTTCTCCAGCACGATGTATTTCCTGCCGCCTGACTTGAGTGCCGGAAGAGCACGATCGGCGCATTTTAGTGTTCAAGCTCTTGTGGCCTTCACAGAGCTTGCGCCAAATTTGCCCCTTGAGATTTTGTCTGGCACAGCCCGCTCCATGTGCAGCCTTGGCTGCGTAAGCTGCGCCCTCGACTGCAGAAGCTGACCTTTGTACAGTGGGGTCGCGACGGCTTGGCGTCGGTTCCGGCACGTCTGCCCGCAGGAGGACATGTTGAGAGAAAGCCCATACTGTAGTCGTTTGGTTTGATTTTTTCTTGTCTTCCATCAATGCGTTCGCCTCGAACAACCAAGGCCGAAGCTTGGGCGATGAGGACATTTCTGAGGACCTGGCGGCGGCGGCGAAAGCCCAGGCCTATGTGCACCAAATATCCTGGCATGTGCATAGAGCCAGCTGAAGAAAAGGGCGCCCTCTAGCTCGGCCTTATACCGATACCCATCACAAGCTAAGCAAACAAACGCAATAGTGAACAGCACGACCAGCGCCTAAATCTGATAACTGTAACATGTGGGGACCCAGCGGGATTAATTCTGGTTTTCAGGACTTGATGCTAGCGCCTGGCATGGGCAGCGATAGATGAAACGTGATTGCGACACATTTGTAAGTAGGGACATGTGGAGATGTCGCCGATAGAGATGGACAGACATCAAGAGACGAAGACCGACATGTTTAAAGATGCAGAGGTCTCCCGAAACCTCGCCTGAGCTTCAAGCCCCAGGAATGAATGCATGCAGGGAGACGTGCTGGTACACTTGCATGCACATGCACCACGGCAAACACCCTAATACGTATGCGGGCGTATGCCTACATGGCCTGCGCTGGCAGTTCCGTGTTGTATTGTGCGGGCGCCAGGACGAACAAAGGACATGCAGACATCTAAGCTGAGCCGCCGTGACGAAATAAGCCATGATTAGCGCATGTGCCACATTTGTGGCAGGAGCGTAGCCACGGCGAGATCTTGCAAGCCTTGCAGAGACTCCCGGTACTGCTGCGCCAGAAGCTTATCGGGATTGCTTCACGGCATCATCGTCTCCAAGCTTCCTGCTCTGTGGTGTCAACCATATGCCAAACACAAACACTCGTGCTGGGTGATTTGTATACTAAGGACAATCGAAAGGTGCCGGCCTAATGCTTGCAGCGAGACGGAGACGGTAGCGAAAGCAAGCACAGGCTTTCATTTCGGAATTGTCACCTGCGGAGTTGAAGCCCCGAAGTTGTTGTTTTCTTCGAAGCCCCAAGGCAAGGGCCTCGGGCAAGCGCAGAGTGCGCTGAGCTCTGCGTTGCGCTGGGCCTCCGTTGGGGGCCGCAGAGCCTTTGCGAAGGGGAATGTTTGAGGGAGTGATGCTCCAGAACTCGGGCTTCAGGCTGACCTATTTGGGGTGTATGAGGCTTTAAGTTAAGACCCAGGCCTTTCCCCGCAATTTGCCTGACGACGGAAGAATGCTGTATGGTGAACTCTGAGAGGTGTTGACCTGCTTCCTCAAAATTCCACCGCGGCTCCTTTTGCGGCAGCTGTTTTCGAGTGTTTTGAAGCCGGCCAGCAGATCAGCGTCTTGTCTACATCGGTGCTCCTGTCGGCCAGCAAGAAGATTCGAATAAACCTCCAGGGAAGCGCCGCCCTCTCACAACACCAAGCCCAGCCCACCCAGCCAGTTTTTTGCACGGAGAATAACATGCCACCTTGCCCCCGCCATGACCCGGCCATGTTGGAGCTTCAAGGTGCATTTGCAGCCATTAACTGCCGGAACGAGGAAAGTTTCGCCTTGGCAAGATGTGCAGGTATCGTGGCCAAATGACCGAGCCGATATGGGCCGGAGGCCTATAGTGGGGCCTAGCTCTCATCGATGGCGGGCGATTCAGCAAAGGGCGCTAACTTGTCTCAGACTTCGCGGAGCTTGCGCGCGGGGAGCGGTTTTTCCCTGCTACCTTGATGGGGCCCCGCAGGGGAATGAAGCGAGGCAGCTCGACATTCCGTCCCTAAGGTTGGAATGCGGCTTCGGCCCCTCGTGAATCATGAGATCGGCCTGGGCCCCAGCCCACCGCTCTTAGCAGAGTCTCTGGCACAGTTCGAAACGTTACGAAGAGAGCTTTCCTAGACGCCGCAACATATTTGTTCGTTGATTCTCAAGTCTTCTTGATCTCTGGCCCGTCAGAGGCTTTTAAGCTCCCCTCTCCCGTGTCATCCGATCCTTGCAGGTCAAGAGAAATGCCTGACGATCGAGGCAGGGAGTAGCCGGAAGTCGTAGCAGGGACCTGGCTCAGCTAGGTTTTCGTCAGGAGACTTTCTGATACCCAGCAGTGAGCCAGGGGTGGCGTGTGGTTCATGTTTCCTGCATCGGGCAGACAGCTGGCGAAGTTGCGATCATCTTGTTCTCAGGGCAACCAGGTCTCCATCGTTGAGGATGTCATTGACACAGATCGGAAGGCCAGAGAGAGGGAGACGAGTGCGAGTCGATGCCAAAAGCCGTGCGCCTGGGTCATGGCCCAAACCGCAGGCAGCAGTCCCAAATGACTTTGACCGGAAGTCGACCTTCGCCTTCGATGTCGGCGACAGAGAACAAGCTGAAGTGTATCCGCGCGCGGGGATTACTTTCTAGGTGTGGCGAATGACTTCGCAGAGGTCGCCATGGACAGCACGGACGAGAGCAGCCCCTCCTTCGTCTCGCAGGAAAACATGGTTTTGGTAGGTCGGTAAACTGTTCCAGAGCTCTGCAAAAGAGCTGCTCAGGAGGCCCATGGTGGTGGTTGCAGAAGTGGAATGACATGCTCCCTGATGCAATTTTCTCAGCAAGCAGCTTGCATGCAGGAGAAGTGCTATGAGATCATGGGCCGGCGAATGGTGGAGTACATGCTGCAGGCGCTGCCCGACCATGCGAGTCAACACGCTTCCGTATACTTGACCACCTGATCTGATGAGTACATAGTACATCCCTGAAGCGGGGAAGTGGTGAGTGCATTGCCACTGCAGGGTTTCAACTCCTGCCTCTTCTGCTACGGCCAGACGGGAACTGGAAAGACCACCACGATCATGGGCAAGGCCACTAAGCCCAAGCCAGAAGTGTCGCGCGGGCAAGCGCCGGTGCTCCTGAGGCGCAGCCGAAGTCAGAGCGCGGCCTTCTCATGCGCCTCTCGGCAGCACGGGGTCCCGAGACATCTACCTTTGGGCGCGGTGAGTATGATGGAGGGTTTACATCGCTTAGTGGGAAGAAGCCCGGCAAGCTTCGCACAAAAAGTTGGCACATACTTGAGTCAAAGTGGTTGAGACTCAGCTGTGCGCATGCTGGCTCTCGGGGCTTCAGTTGGAAGTTAGAGGTACAGACACAGTGCCTCAGGACTCGTCGACGATGTATTCGACGAGGCAGGGGCACAAGGGTTGCAAGCAGTAAGTGGCACGGCACAGTCTTCATGTGCAAGCCGTCGCGTTTGCAGCACTTCCAGGTGGACAAGGAGCAATCGAACTCCGGGTCGCAGGTGCATGTTGTCATGCAGATGCTAGAAGTCTACAACGAGAAGCCGAAGCCCTAGACCCATCAGACTGGCACGAAGTGGCGCAGAGCCCCGACCGTGGCCGCGCAAAACAACTGCTGCCAGTACTAGCGTCGTCGTTGCCGTCGTCGTAGCAGTAGTCGTAGTCACAGTCGTCGTCGTCGTCGTCGTCGTCGTGGTCGTCGTAGTCATCGTCGTCGTCGTCGTCGTAGTAGTAGTAGTAGCAGTAGTAGTAGTGGTAGTGGTAGTGGTAGTGGTAGTGATAGTGGTAGTGATAGTCGTAGTCGTAGTCGTAGTCGTAATCGTAGTAGTAGCAGTAGTAGTAGTAGTAGTAGTAGTAGTAGTAGTGGTAGTAGTAGTAGTAGTAGTAGTAGTAGTAGTGCTAGTGGTAGTGGTAGTGGTAGTTGTAGTAGTGGTAGTTGTAGTAGTGGTAGTGGTAGTGGTAGTGGTAGTGGTAGTGGTAGCGGTAGCGGTAGCGGTAGCGGTAGTGGCAGTGGCAGTGGCAGTGGCAGTGGTAGTAGTAGTAGTGGTGGTAGTGGTAGTGGTCGTCGTCGTTGTAGTCGTGGTGGTGGTGGCGGCAGCAGGTATGCTATTCTGGCATCGCAGTGCGCGCTCACTCAAGTTGCGAAATAGTTTATTGACGTGGCAGTGAGACTCGTGAAAGCTCTGGTGTTAGTTGCTGTTAGCCGTTAGTGCCCCATGTCCTGAGGCTGAAGGACTTACTCGCTACCTCAGACTTTGGGCCCGCCGGGCCTGGCCGCAGCGCTGCGAAGAAGATTAACATCCACGTGCATCCGGACGGCTCGGGGCGATCACGAAAGCTCTGATGAAGTTGCTAGGACTACGAAGACCACTCTAGGAGTTTAAGATCCATGGCGATGTGTTCGCTGTCATGATGTGATCGGTGGATCATGTGTAATTGTACAAGTGTTTGAGCATTACCATTCCTTTGATGGACACTTGCTTGCATGTGGGAACTTTTGTGCTGAGCTTTTGCAAGTTGCTCGTGGTTGGTGTTGGGTGCATGCTCAGGAGCTTGGGGTGTACCTGACTGGGGCAATCGAGGCACCTGTGCAAGCCTCAAATGACCTCTGGCAAGTTTCTGTCGTCGTTTCTGGTAGTAAGGGCATGTCCGAGAGAGAGGTCGTTCGCGAGAGCGGTAGTTATTTCTGGCTTCGTAGCGACGCTCCAGTGGACGTATTTAGGGTGCACGGATCAGACCACTTGCAGTAGCGCTTGAGGTCAAAACGGCAGCCGAGTGCATCAAAACGATGCCCTGCTGCATTTTGCTTTGGTCGTGGTTTGCTTACAGTCAGAGTATACATTGCAGGCTACTGAGCGGCTTTTGATTTTCAAACATCGTGGCAGATTTGCAAGTCAGCATCCGGAAGCCGAAGCGCATTCACCATTGGCATATTCGATCGATGCAGCTACTAATGACGAACAAGCTTCGAAACCCGGGTGTGTCAGCCAATCGAATTTTCAATCTCGGGTAGATGGCAGATGGCTTTCCTTTTGGCAGTTCCTGTTGCCGAAGCAGCGAGGCAACTCTCATCTGCTTGTCATGCACTCGCGCATCCAGAGTTTGTGCTGGTCGCATGTTGAGGATTGAATACGGGAATGCGATGAAGGCCTTTTCGCAAGTATGGGAACTGAACTGGCGCAGCTGCTGCGTCCCTTCGATAGTCTTACATTGCCTCACCCGGCAGGCAGTGCAGGCCACCGCCATGAATGCACAGAGTTCACGTGGCCACACCGTCTTCAAGCTGAACATGGTCAGAGAGGCAACGCGTTTGATTGCACTCTACATCACATGCCGTTGCACTGCCTGTGGAGGGTGGCAGCGACAATCTGTCCACCACTTCTGAGGCACGAGGATCTCTGGGGGCGAGTTAGTTGTTGGACTGCCGCCAAGGGCCAGACGGCTTGTTCGATTCCGTGCTTTGTATTTAACCGATTAATGTTTCCAATCATGAGGCTGGATCACTAGAAAGCCTAAGCCACTCGAACTGCGGCAATTGCATTTCGAGATAGCTGTCAAGGTCTTGTGGAAGGTGGTCAAACACACCGCCGTTCAGCTTCCTCGGATTCGTCAGGTTTGCTTTGCAGACCTCGCTGGTCGGGAAAATGAGAAGACGACGCAGGTGGGCGTCGTACTTCTTACCGTGGGTGTATGTGGCACCCGGCGCGCAACACGTCAAGTCGCTCGAGGGGCATGCGCGCGTGTGGAATTCGGAGGTCTCCAGTTTGGCCGGGCTTCGACTAGACAGGGTGCATCAGTGCACAGGGCAGAGGCTGCTGCAGTGTGCGGAGGTCACCGGCGAGAGGTTCGTGGAGCTGAGCTTCATTAACAAGAGCCTGGCCCTTTGCTCCAGAACTTGGCACTCCGGCTCCTGGCTCACCGGATGTGCAAAGGCCTGCTGTACCTGTCCGGCTGCATCCAGAGCTTGGGGCAGCAAAGTAAGCTCCCCAGAAGCTCCACATGAGGGTCGTCAGCATCTTTACAGGCAGCCGAACATGTGCTGTGCCAGTGCACGAAACCACACAGTGACCACTGACACTGTTCAGCCCACCGCCGGCGCCTTCAAACTGACCATGGTTCTGGCACTCCGTGCCTCGGCGGGCACATGAGACGCTGGCAGGAGGGCCATGAAGGCTTCAGCCGACTCGAGGTACTCCGAAAGTCCTGGTTGAGATCACAAAAGGTCCGCAGAACAGTTCAGCCAAGGAAGTCGAAGGGCGTGGACATGTCAAAGCCGCCTGGCAGCACTCAGCTGACTTCGCCGAGCTTTGGCTTCTTGGTCCTTATAATAAAGATCCTATTATTTAGGGTGCTATATTAGGGTCCCCTATTTTCGGAAACCCCCACATGATGAATTGCAGGTGTGGGCACAAGTCTGCCTTGCGCATCCCCGACGGCTCAGTTCTCCTGTGACGCCAAGGTTCCGCAACTCCAAGCTGACACTGTGCACCGCTCAGAAAGTTCGACTCCCTTTCGAGGCGAGTGCTCCTTGCTGAAAGCTCAGGCTCCTCTCGAACGCGCTGTCGGGAAATTCGAGGACATCGATGATTGGAACGTTGAGTCCGGCCGTGACTTGACCGAAACTTGACAGAGCCGAGAAGCACGACGTTAGACCTTCTGCCTTGTTCTTCTCGAGGCAGCTCACTTCGAGGAGAGTCACAACACGCTCAGGCGCGCTTGTGGTGCAGTCTTCGAGCTTTTTCGAGCTTGGAAGTAAGCTTGCTGACCGATCGCACTACTGAGCTTTTGATGAGGTTTGCATCGACAGTGAAGACCATCAAGGTGCAGGCCAAAGCAGCACGAGCAGTGGACAAGGACTACAGACAGCTGTCATTTGCTTCTGCTCTGTTTGATGGAATATTGCTGCCCTGCTCGGCCATGGCAAGATGTGTGAGATGGCCGACGAAGACCTGTATGCAAAGCCGAAGCAGCAGCCCACATACAAGGCAAAACATGCCAGTGACAGACACACACACACACACTGACTGATCTGGAACTCTAGATCGGCAGCGTCAAGCACTTCACACAAGCATCCAGGAGGCAAGCTGATGTCGAGCCCATGGTTCAGCTACATCATAGGAATACAGCACAGGAGGTTCTGATGCAACAGCCTTATATTTGCCAGTCTGAAAAGAGCATGCTTGAACGATGTCACAACGACGTGTTCCGGGGTTCATGTATATTGGCACCAAAGCCGCTTTGCTTTTCGCCATGGCCCATCTCGGGCCGCTTGCAGAGCCTTTGAAGCTGCTGGATGGAAGGCTGATGCCGAGGATAGGCCTCGGTGTTTACAGGCCCGAAGATGTCTCACGGTGGCTTGAGAACACGTTAGGCCTAGGCGACTGAAGATTCAGATGGGTTCCATCCTTCGAAATGACGATTCCCTTAGTTTAATCTATTAAGGGTGCTTGAATGAGCTTGACCAAGTCCACGCGGCGGGTGGAGTACTTATGAAATTTCTGCCTCCTTTTTCTTTTTCGAGGTCCAAGCCTGGCCCTGAAACGTACAATGCCGTGAAGTGGGCATTGGAAATGGGAGGCTCAGCTTGGATTCATGAGGATACCGGAGGTAGGACGTTTCTTCACCAGTGTCTTACGTAACTTAGTACGTTCCTAATTAACGGCTCCGAGCAAGCTCCTTGTCCCAAGGATATCGTTTGGTGGATACTGCGGCCTTGTATCGCAACGAAAAGAGTGTGGGCGAGGTGGCCTGAAGCGTTTAATATATGTGTATATATATATATATATGTGTATATATATATATATATATAAGTAAGTCATATCAGGCCTGCACGACAAGGGACCACGCAAGCTCGCAACTCGTTTCAGGTCGCTAGCCGTTTCCGCTCTCCAATTGCACAGGAGGCCCGCGGCCAGCCATGACTTCGGAGCGTTGGGAGCGCAGCTGGTGGGATTCAAAGAGCTGGGGCCGCTGGGGTAGCTGGGAATGGGACCAGAGATGGACCAGCACCTGGTCCTGGGGCGAAGAGAAGGAGGCCGAAGACGTTCAGGTCCCAAAGCTAAGCCCAAGCTCCATCATAAGCTCGTCTGCTTCGTCCACTTCCCAGAAGTTGATTTTCGTGCTTGGAATGCCGAAGACTGGTACTACGTCATTGCATGCAGCATTTCTGAGGGCCGGCTTGAACTCTGTGCATTGGGCCTTGGATCAAGGCAAAAACCTCAGCAAAGACAAGCAGCTGCGTCTTTGGGGCGACGGTTCCGAAAGCCGACTGGTGGGAAGACTCATCGAACAAGCTGTGAGCGAGGGCAAGGAGCCTTTGGCATACCTTCCGCAGGTGGAAGCACTGGCCGAGATGAACGGCATGTTTTGGAAGGATAAAGCCCAAACCACTGTTCAGGCATACTTTCCGCAAATGGAGCACTTAGAACGGCTGCTGGAAGCTTACCCAAATGCGTACTTCATCTTGAATGTGCGGAAGTTGGATGACTGGGTCAAGTCCGTGAACGAGCACAACGATTTGCGCAAGCGATTTGTCTGTGCGGATCTGCCTGGTTTGCCAGCTCAAAAAGGGGCGACAGACGAGGAGCTGGTGGAATGGGTAAAAGCGCATCAGGAGCGCGTTCTGACTTTGCTTCCCAGCCGCAAGGCCAATCTGTTACACTTTGACATCGACCGGCATGGGTCAGACGAGCTGAGCCAGTTTCTCCGGTGCCCGATCACGTGGCCCCATTGCAATCGGACGGCACGCAGGTAGCTCTGTTTCTGCAACAGGAGAGGGAGCAGCCAAAACACAGAACCGCGTGCAGCGCAACAACTTCTCAGGTCAGGCCGTGCACCGAGACTGGCTGGCGCTGTGAGGCAGGAGCCGTCGTAAGGGATCCTTATAATGAGCTGGCAATTGCGCAAATCCGGGTCACGCGAGAGCGCGCCACCTCCGAGCCTGCACTATCTCGGCCCGTCGGAGGCCAGAAGTACAAAGCTGTTGCTACTATCAGCTCTCCGGCTGGACGAGGTGCTGCCGATCTTCGCCGCGGAGGATGTGTGAGCCACACCACTGCCGCACCACCGCCAAGTCATCAGCGGAGCTGATGCTGCGCTGGAGACTTTGCCACCTGCATTCGGCCTCAACACCGGGTCGCCCCGCTCGATGTGCCACGGGCAAGGGACGAAGCCGGTGCGCCTGCATAGCTGCCAATGAGCAGCGACCACAACACTACTGCACACGCAGCCGCAACGCCCTGCATGAGGCATGCTTGTGGCTTCTATCGCGGACATGCAGCAAGTGCGGCCGGACAAGTCCGTGCTCGTCATAGAGCGCACGGGCATTGGGAGAGTGTAGTCGAAACTGGTTCGACTGCGGCGCGGGTACGTGGCATGAGATTCCTCCAGCAAAAGTCAGCCGGCTTTCGTGGCAGAGCAGGAGGCCTCGCTCATCCTCAAAAGCAGGCACCTGGTCACTGGAAACAACGCACATACCTGCATCTCGTGTGAAGCGTTTCAGTCGGTAGCGAAGCTATGGCAGCTATGGCCAATTTGGAGCAGCAGCTGCACGACCTCGAGTTGGTGCAGGCGGAACAGAGTCCATCTCCACCTCCGCCCGACCAGGATGCTTCTGAAGGCTTCCCTCTGCGCTAGAAAGTGAGGAACGGAGTTGAGGAGCTTGTTCATGGGCCCGACTGCCCAGGACTTTCGAGTTCTATTAGAAAGAACGGGGTCTCATCACATGCCTGTGCAAGTAGCGACGCCGGATGTGCTATGCTTTCGGGTTTAACTTCCACCTGCGAGTTGTTCTGTCAATCAGCAACAACACAGCACGGAACACAACAGAAGAGAATTGTCCATGACCATTGGTTTTAGACTTGCAAGGCCATCAGGGATTCCGGACTCTCCAGAGAAGATGTTTGGATCACTACCAAGCTTTGGGACAGCGGGAGCCCTGGAGGCTTTTTGCAGACTTTCGAATTTTCAGCATGCTAAGGCCGGCGACGCTGTGCATGAGCAAAGCAAGGTATCGTACATGTGGCATGTTTATGTAACTTTTCCTCCCGCCGGCACAGACCCGAAAGCACAGCCCCATGCCGGAAGACTGATCGCAGGCGCAAACTTAGCAAGTCCGAAACTTCACACATCCGAGGTGATCATGGACGGGTCCTCGGCAATCTTTTTGGTGGTCTGCGTCTCTCTCTCTCTCCCTCTGTCTCTGTCTCTGTCTCTCCCTCTGTCTCCCCCTCTCTCCTCTTCGATCTCTTTATCTCATTGCGTGCTTGTGGAAGATGGGTGGGTGGGTGCATGGGTGTGGGGACGGGGTGAGAGTGCGGGCGGCTGAGTTGACGTCTCGCTAGGTCTCCTTCACATCCGAGGTTGTTACTACTTGGAGCTGTTGCCATGGGCATGTGTTTCGATTCCATATTCTTGACATTGTGAAATTTGGGTTGGTTGATCTGGGATGGTGCTGCTTACAATTTTGCTGTTGTTGTTGTTGCTGCTGCTGCTGTTGTAGCTGGCCGTTGCTTCTGCTGCTGCTATTGTTGCCGCCCTGTGCTAAATTGCGGTGGTCGTTGGCAGCACAGGGTTGCATCTGGGACCAATAATGCCCCTGCACGCGATCCGGAATTCTGCATGTTGCTGGAGGATACGAGGCCACTCTGAAAGCATGCCAGAACAGCCTACATCAGCTTGGAGACTCAGCGGCAGCTCAAGGTGTGTCGTCCTGTGCCCAGCGGACTCGGCACCTGTTCGTAATCGCGGGGTAGAACATGTCAAGGACTGTCATACATTGACTTGTACTTGCAGCCCGGATAGCAAGAGGGCGAATCCATGTGTCAAAACCGCGTCATGTTGCGGGCACAGTGGCGAAAGCTGCAGAGACTTCAGGATCCACTCCCCAAACACCGGTAAGTTGGTCGAGACCTGGGATGCGATGATCGAACTTCAGCGCCGCGGCGTGGTGAGGTCAATTGGCGTTTCGTCTCTTGGCCGCACCGGCATCGGCGAATTGGTATTGGGAAACAGCTCTGCAAATCAGATCGGCCAGGCAAGCTGCCAAACGAGCTTGATCAGGTAAGCCGGGTACCGATAATGTCAATGGGTCATGTGAACATGAATCATGTCACCGTGCATGCTAGCTTTAGGCTCGTCTTCCTGTCCTTCATCTTTTCGCAATTTGAGCAAGATGGGAATCTCACTTCTGTTGTAGAACAGCTTTGAGTTCATCGCATGATTTTCCATCCAATCGCAAGTCGAAGTGGTGGTCATCACGGAATGATCGGGTTTCCTCTCATGTTCCTTCCGCTCAGCAGTGAAACAAAAGAGTCGGTGATAGCGCGCAAACGTCGCGGGAGTTCTTTTCGTGCAGTAGAACGAAGTTCAGTCACTCTACCAGCAGTGGCTGTCGGGGTAAGAGCTACATCCGCACAGGATCCCAGGCCAACTCGCGTGGCTCAAGCGTGCGTGCGAGAGCTGAATTGAAATCCAGCCGGGGCCGTTTTGATAGGGAACCGACACCCCATCCAAACACAGCCAACGGTCTGCAAATCCGCCTTCCGAGGAACTTCGGAGTTCCGCATTTGGAAGCGCTGCGATCCTCGGGCCGGCAGTTGCCCGTTGTTAATCAGATCGTTCCGGGGCTGCAAGAGGCTGCATGCCTCTCTCCATTGCGTGTGTCTTTAGCGCACTGCCCTGCCTGGGAAGCAAACTTCAGGAAATGCACCCGATGGTTTACCAAGAGCGAAAGCCCGTGCTGGAGCCGGGCGCCCAATGCTCGCCTTAGACTGTGTGATCTTTGGCCAATGTGCTTGCAGCACTCAGGTTTTGCGCAGCTCACGGCATCAAAATCACAGCTTATGGCTCAATGTTTTCTGGTCAGCAAGAACAGCTGGAAAGGACTGCGCCAGGGCTAGGGCAACAAAGCTAACAATCCACTTGTAGACTCCTGAAGAGCGAGCGTGGCTGTGGACTCTTCACCCAGGAAAGAGGTGGCACAGGTTCTTGCGGCCCACCCCAGCACCTTGATCTTTCAGGTAGGCAGTGGCTGAGACAGCATGCAGGAACCATGAAACTCCGCACGTTTCTGCGTGGACGGTTGCAAGCTTTGCACGCATGCCACAGCAGTCAAGACACAGGGTTTTCTGCCAACTGTTTTATCAGGCTCGTTATTGACATGCCATGCTTCTGATTTTCATGTTTGATCATGTTTGATCTTCAGTCGAAATCGCTGCAAGGTAAGACGCCGGCGCAAGTCTTGCTGCGATGGGGCCTGCAGATGGACTTCCAAGTGATACCAAAGCTACTCTGTTGCAGCTGATGGTAGGTCATCTGGGTAACTCATCGCAGAGTTTGTGGCACAGCATGTTGCGAGATGCCGCAGCTCGGATGAGAAAGCTTAGGAGTGTTCGCCGGGAGCGTCTCGAGGAGAACATGTCGCTCGGCTGAAGTCATACAGGCTGCAAGTGAACAGAAATGCAATTGGATCGTGTCACACGGCCCTATGAAGGAATCTGATGGACTTCGAGCTCACGCCCGGCGAGGTAGCACCGTCCTTCATTACCATTGCAGAAGCAGCTGTTGATGGGCCATGACGGGGCCTCATCTACGCCGGAGTAGCTAAGGCTGCCGTTGCTAAGCTTCCTATAAATCACTTCGGTTGTGACGCACCCATGCCTTGGATCCGAGCGATGCATGGTGCTTGTAGTCCGCAAGAGACACTATGGTAAGCCAGGTCAATAGGTTCGGCAAGTTTGCCCATGTCGGCGTGTGGTTGTAGGCATCCAAGTGTTGCAACATCGGAAGCTGTCCCTTCGTGCAGATGGAATCGCTAAGTGCGATGCGTGGAGCCTTGCACGAGTACTGGCATCTTGGCATCCTGATCATGATCGGTGCCAGGAAACTCCGACCAGAAGATTCGAGACCGTGTCATGAGAGGCAGTGCGCGACTTAAGGAACCCGTTGAAGAGCAAGGTTGACCTGGGACGGACGGATCGGGGGCATCTCGACTTTTTTGGCAGTTTTGTTCGTTAACCCTGTGCAACAGCAGTTCAACGCTTTCCTTGCACTCGGTATTGACTGTACAAGTAGTAGGGTAGATTTTGGAGCAAGCGTTCTGGATTGACGTGTCCTGCTTCCCCGCGCTGTGGCTGAGGACGGCGGAATCTTGAATGATCCATTGACTTGCTTTGTGTTGCAGACAAAAAGGAAGCTCTCCCCATGCCACCCGAGATATCCCGAGATCGCGAGAATGGCGCATTGGTGCTTGCTGACTCATTGTTCTCCAGCAGACTATCAGATTCTCTCTATTCTCTCTCCGGATCAGACGGTAAATCTCGGGACTGAGAGACCCGCTCGCTCCGGAAAGGACAGTCTCGTGAAGCAGCTGCAGCTTGAAGTGCAGCAGTTGAAGCTCGGACCAAATTCAAGCTAAACCCAAAGCAGCTGATCAGGAGTGCTGACAAGGCCTCAGTTCAGAATGGCAGTTCATGGCACCTTCAGCACATGGCAGAGGTTTGCAATCGTGGCATGTTGCGCCCTTAAAGAGGGCCAGAAGCGAATGAGCTGTAACTCTCTCCCGAAGTACACGTAAGCCCGTCAGACACACATGGTGTCGGCTTCTAGGGGTCCAGGCATTGCTCCCAGTCTGTGGCCCAATAATCCAACTCCCATCCCGAGGAAGCTCCAGCTGGAACAGGCGCTTGAGGGCTGAAAGAAGTTGCTCGCAAGACATTGCAAAAAACCGTAGTAGCTGATGTCTGAACAGCAGAAATTGTCGCTGCTGAGTGCTACAGGCTCAGGAGAAGCATGATGACGAGGCCTGGGATGCCTTTGCATCGATTGGGACTCTTTGCCTGGCCGGCCTCCCTCTGATAGTATAGTTATCATAAGAAATCCTAAGGACATCAGAGAAATCAACGTCCAGCTCGAAGCCACGACGGCCATCGTCGCGCGTCAAACGTGGCCCGGTGGCATTGTAGCAGCACCGGAGCAGTCTGCAGGAAGAGGTGCAAGGAGCTTAGTGGCGCGCGCCGAGGCGAGACTGGATGGTCTTCCAGCAGGCCTGTCTCCAGCCAAATAGTGAGCCATTCGTATGACTTTAGGATGTAGTCCAACATGAATCGAGCACAACATTTGGATGATTTTCGGCCGGCGATCCCTGGCAGGAGAGCGCAGAGCTCAGCAGGAAGCGGACAAAGACCATGGAAAGTCTCATGGCCCATTCGCCATGGACTGAGCTTTTGAGAAAACGGCACAGCAGCTGATATCAGTCGCATGGCCACCTCAGCCTTAGAAAGGACTCTTCTGCTTTCTGGATGCTTGCACAAAGAGAGAGGTAGCCGCTGTTTGGCTTGGGGTAAACGTTTTTCCCCGGGTATGTAGCCATTGCATGTTGGAGTGGCCGGTGCACACCTGCACGGGGTCTGGCCTCCCCTTGTCTGTGAGTGGGGAAAGGGAGGCGTAAGACTGTGAGCTATTTCGGTAAGTGGCATTTTCTCTGTCCGGAGTGTCTCCCAGGTTGGGCGATTGCCCACCGCCGTACCTGGCAAACTACTCAGAGGACTCTGGCTCTCTGCAAGCATGTTCGTCCAAAACTACAGAAGGTGCCGCCATCCGTAGCTGTCGTTGTCCATTTGATGGTGCTTTGCCACAGGACCCGCACCTGGCGTTCAGACTTGTGATGCCTGCCAGGAGCTCGGCTCGATGCGCTGAGCTTGAGTTGTTCTTGCCTGGTGCCATTCTTCCATATTCTTCCTACATCATATGAATCATATCATCTTATAGTTCCTGAGTTCCGTTCGCCATTAGCTTGAACGAGAGATGCGAAACTCCAATTTTCTTGCCGTCCTTTGCAGGTGGCTGCAGACGGCGAGGAGCACTCGCTGGGCTCAGGCCGGCGCAGTTGCAAAGGCTTTCACTAGGATTTAGGATTTAGGGCATGTAGGGCATTTAGGGTTTAGGGTTTCTTAGTCTTAGTCTTAGTCTTAGCCTGAACTGAAAGCATCGAGGGCCTAGGCCTAGGCCTTGGCTCGGCTCGAGGAGGTCTCCGCAGTCGCACGGCGAAGTTGTCGCACGGAAAGCCCCTGAGCTTCTCAGGCGCCAGCTGCAGCTTCCGGCTTCCTCCAAGCCTGGGGGCCTCTTGGCTGGTTGGTGGGGGGCATAGTAGCACTTAGTAGCATGTAGTCCTGGACAGTGTATCAGGACTTTACTACAACAAGATGGAACATAAATAAGGGATCGACATTGCCACCTTCCCATGAGTCAGCTCTGCCGTTAGAGATGCATCCGGAGCCACGAAGGAGCCTGAGCATCTTTGCATAGGCACAAAATGTGTCGTCTCACGTTTCACACAAGCTTACACGATTGCTTCAGGTGTGCGACATTACCGGATACATCCGAAACGAGGAAGGCTCTGCGCCGCAACTGTTGCAATCCGATACCATGCTTAGGATCATCCGCAGAACCGCGAGACCTCTCAGCCTGAGAGGTCGCCTGTGGCTTCGGCCTGAGCCGCTCCCTCATAGCAACTTGCATGCAACCATCGGGTTCCCCTTCCAAGCACTCTGGTGTCGCAGAGACACTGCTTGTCCACTCGCTGTGCTTCGTGTCGCTGGGTGGTACTCAGTGCAGAGCCGGTGAGCAAGGCACACGCCCGGCAAGCATCGAGGCACTTGGTGCTGCAGCTGCTGCCGTTGCTGATAGTCGCCTACTAGCTCAGTTTGCAGGTCAACAGTGAAAAGCTGTCCTTGGAACCTCTCGAGTTGCAACACTTAGTGCTTGCCTCAGCAACACATCTTCAGGGCGCTGGCCACGAACGTGCACCATACCGGGATGATACTTCCCCTTACGCTCTGCCAAGGACTGTGTCCTCTTTGGCCGTTCTACAATCTTCTATGTCTTCTTGCAGAAGGTGTCGCCGGAGGCCAGTGCGAAGAGTTTCCATGCGATGCGAGTGGCCTTGGCAAAGGCCCAAGTCTGCAAGTCTTGGCTACAGGAGCTCACTGCGAAACTGCGCTCGCCGTACGACATAGACAAGGCCGCCGGCTTCGGAGAGACAGACCCGCAGGGACATACTGAGAAGCGGCGCCCATGAAGGAAGAGTGGGAAGGTGGCCTCACCCAGAAGGTCGTCAACAGTATACTCGGAGAGGTGCATCTTTATCGGCATGGCGGTTCTGACTCTACTCTCTTGATCAGCACACAGTCTCCAGCAACAACTGCAGATGCATGGACTGTCCAGCAACCTCATGCATTTCCTAGAACTTGAATCGGACTGCTTTGCCATCAGATGCTCTCGAGACCGGCATAGCCCTAGCAGGTTCTCAACGTCTCAGCCTGGCTTGCTCCCACAGGCTCGCACCGACGACCCCCTGGAACGAGAGCTTGCACGGGTCTACTGCAACCAGCTGCAAAGACTCTCGTCTTCATGTGGGTTCTTTTCGCTTTTTCGGCTGTCCTACAAAGCATTTCGGCACGGGTTCCTGCGGCAGTGCTGGTGGGAGCCTGCTCTCGGGTCTCAGTGAAAGGTCAGAATCGCGACACGCAGGGCACCTTCATGCTCCGAGCGCTTCAGCTGCATGGGTCGTGGTGTGACTACTTTCCTGAGACGTGGGCCCGTGAAGAAGGAGCTATTGCATTATAGACGTATATGTAGACGTCGTGGCTGTGAGTGCCTTCGCTGACTTCCTGCAAGGCATTCCTGCAGCGAGCAAAGCGAGCGCGACTGAAAGTGGACGAAGCGAACGATCTGACGGCGTGCATCCGCCCAAAGTCAGGACAGCTTCATGGTTTAGGAACTTGAGCATCTCCATGAAAAATGCACCAGGTGTGAAGGTGCGTCGTGTTTGTCATTTGTTCAGCCTCTCCTTTCCAGACTCTCCTGACTGCTGGGGTGCTCCAGGCCTGCACTTCGAGTTGGCTTCACAGGTGCCAGCACTGGTTCTGAGCAGTGAGGGTGAAAGAATCGGTTGCGGAGCAGGCCCCCGTCCTTTCATACGGCTTCGCTACGCACGGTAATTTGCCAGAGTTGAGCGTCGGAGGCTTAGCACGCGAGACTTGCACTGACTCGAGAGACTCGAGAGCGTATAGTTGACTTGGCATTTTTTGTGCTCGGCCTCAACTGACAGGTCCGCCTCGTGCAGCGAATTGCGCCACTGCACCGCTTTCGACGCGCTGCCTGGAAGCTGATGGCCGAAACAAGGGGCACGCGAATCAAGGAGCGAATCTTGTGATCGCTGCTCCGGTGCTGAGTTTTTCCGTGGCGCGATGTGACTTCTACACGTCAGCCAATAAGATGAGGCAGCTGTAGAAACTCGGGTCACAGCTGAAGCTCTAGCTAGGCTCCATGACCCTCGTTTGCCCCGCTTGCTCTGTCGCTGAGGTCTGCATGAATGTCCATGCTGCCAACCCGTCCATTGGCCAGTGCATCCATGCCCAAACCATGATAACGTTCATGCTACCAACCTATCCATTGGCCAGTGCATCCATGCCCAAACCATGATAACGTCCATGCTACCAGCCCATCCATTGGCCAGTGAATCCATGCGCGAACCATGATAACGTACGTGCTACCAACCCATCCATTGGCCAGTGCATCCATGCCCGAACCATGACAACGGTCATGCTACCAACCCATCCATTGGCCAGTGCATACATGCCCAGGCTATTTATCACCAAATGCTTCCGCGCAGAAACACCATTTCTGTTTTCGTTGTTTTGCATTTTTTGGTGCGTATGCATCATCATAACGGTAACACCATGTTGAGCAATGCTAACATACGAAAGTATCGGCCCTGCCATGCTTTTCCAACATTGCTCGAATCCGGGGTGAAACAAAGAACACATCCCTAAACCCTAAACCCTAAACCCATACTTGATGAAACAAATTTCACGGATCCTTCCAAGCCGAACTAGGTCTTGGTTGTTTGTGTTGGGTCTAGGCGAGTTGGCTCGCGAAGGTGGCTGTCAAATGGATATTACCTATGCTTGCGCACGTGCTGTTGTCTTGTCCCTATCCTACTTGACAGCGAGCCTCCAAGTGAAACCTACTTTGGGGCGTCTGTTAACGCATTTTGAAGACAGTATCGTGGTGGACCTTGCCAGGCTTGTCCGAGTGTGAGTGTCAAAAAAACCCATACTTGGAACCTCGCCAGGCTTGTCCCAGTTGTGAGTGCTGAAACCCTAAACTGTTCGGAACCTGACCTTACGCCTCCATCTCGTGCTGCCGCTGCACTTCCCTGTCAAAATCCAGAAACTCGGCCGCGCAGAAATCTCGAGTGTTTTTTGTTCTGTTTGCTTACATATCATCATAGTGGGGACCCCCTGGCCAACAGTGCTAACATGCGAAAGTATGGGCCCTCCATGCTTTTCGCACTTTGTTCGAGTACAAACTGGGGCAAACGACGGTGATGGACCCTATACTGGCCCTATACCTAATGTCTGCACATCGTGCCGAATCTAGCGGATAACTGAGGCCTCGACGAGAATGTCAGCAAGAGCCACGAAAACACAGCCCACACAGACCCAGAACGAGTCAGCAAAGATCCGGGCATTGTCCTCTGTATTTGCCCTCCATCGTTCACTGGGACTTCTGCTTTGCCATCAGGGTGTATGTGTGTACGTGCTCGCCAGGGAAGCTGTACATTTCGTTGTGGTTGCCGCTTACCGGTTAGAAGTGGATGGGCGGTTGTCTGCTTATATCCGGTCAAAGTCAGGATGCAGCGGGCCTGGCAGACCATCGGTTGCATGTTGCTCACGGAACTCCTCCTGCCTCTGCCAAGAGGACGCTGTGGAGCGTGTTCTTCCCAGCAGTGCGTCACCGACGTCCTATGATGGTGCCCCTTCTTAGGCCTTCTTCTCGCACGTGAGCTTGCCAAGTTCTATGGAGCATTACGGCGCAGCTTTGTTTCTTTCAGTTTCGTGGCGGAACTCTGCGAAGCATGGCGTGAAATTGTGTGTAAGTGCCAAGCGTCATAGGCACGTATAGCCCATGGCCGCGAGAAAGCGGCGAAAGGTCCGTTGACTCAAAACGTTTTGGTTTACAGCCAAAGTGTGAGTTGCAAATTGAAAGCGGAAGCTGCACGCTGAGTTCTTTGCATGACCCTAAACCCTAAACCCTAAACCCTAAACCCCTAAACCCTAAACCCTAAACCCTGTTTGCAGGCGAGTTTCTAGCATCCTCAGAGTCGCCAACAACTCGTCGAAGCTTTTGCGAGACAACGCGGACAGAGCAGGAGATGGGAGTTTCCGAAAATTAGGGGTAGCTTATTTTGGGGTCCTTATAATAAGGGTCCTATTATTTAGGGTACTATATTAGGGTCCCCTATTTTCGGAAACCCCCAGATGTCTTCCCGAGAGCGAAATTCCGACACGGCCGGCCGATGGTTTCGCATACCTCTACAAAAGCCAGAGACAATTTCTGCCTTTTCTTGCGCTCTGCAATCTGTCGGGAGGGAGTGCCCTGTGGACGGGAAAGCTCAGCGTGAGCAGCTTGAGGTACTCCCGAGTTGCTTTCAACTTGGACATGGACTAAGTTCCTGTCCCGCTTGGAAATGATGCACGAGGCCGGCTTGCCATTGAAGGGAGGGCAGAGTAAGGCAGTGGGAGAAGGCGCGACACTGGTGATAGCAAGTGACTGGCATGTGAACGCGCAGCATTTCGGGGGCGCAGCATTTCAGAAGCTCTTGCCTCGCCTGCAAAATCAGCCTCAAGGACGGTCGACGGGTTTTTCATCACAACGCACAGGGCGCTCTCGCGTTGAGCAGCAGTTGATATGCAGCAGCATCCCTGTATGCAAAATTGTTCCTGGTCCGCGAGCGGCGACTGTTTGCGCGCTGTGGAACGGGAGAGCCCGCACAATGGCAAGCTTCGAGGAAGTGCTGCATAACCAGCTGGAAGAACTTCGGGCGCATCTGCTCCAGGCCAGTCCGGCTGTTCCCTGTATTTAAACGCAGGCCTCCAGGATTCTCCGGGAAGCTCCCCGCATAGCGAGGCAGAAAGCCCATTATGTGCCAGCTGCATGCAACTTCTCGTGAGTTGCAACCGCTCTTGGGCCTTTGTCGAGCAGGGCGTACCTTGTAGTCTGATCAAGACATCGCAGCCGGTGACCCACTTTTCACTCCAACTTGCGGTCAAGATGTGCTAGTGTCCTGAAGCGTAAGCCAAAACAGCAGCCGTCCGAATCTATCAATGGAAAGGCCTAAGGGCAGTCAGCCTAGCAATTTGTAGTCGGGGCCGCTTTCCCAAAAGCATCCAAGACCCTATCCCGAAGCCTTGATGCATCTCAGAAATAACGAGTCGATAGGCGACTGCGGCCGATGTGGCAGCGGATAGCTTAGGGAACGGGTCGGGTAGTTACACTCGGACCGTGGGGGCTCGAAGGCAGAGGATGGGGTTCATGGTTGAGCTTGGGTTGCTTTGCGGTCCATGTGCTGAAGTTCTTCCTGCAGCAGGCACATGCCGAATCATCGGTTGAGCGATTTGAGCGTGAGCGGACACGAACATGGTCCTTCCAGAAGGCCTGCTGGGGCAAGGCTGCGGGTACATGTCCATATAAATATAGAGTATATACAGACTAATTGTATGATCGGGCAAACAAATGGTTACCAAAAAATGCCAGCTGTCGGATAGGGGAGCAAGCGACACGAACGCGTGCGTATGATGCAGCATGAACAGTACAGGGTCTGGTCGACTACTACGTAGGATGTCACGTTTTGTCCGCCCACAAGAGGTAGATGATGAGCCCATGATAGCCCATGTTAAGTCCTGGCTTACCCGTCTAGAGTCTAGCGAGTGCATCAGTGTGGCGTTTGCGTTGCCCTTTGCTTGGAGCGCGGGGACGAGAGGTCAATCAGGGCATTTCTTTGGACGCCCTTGACGCTCAACTGCTCCTTACCGTGCGTGAATGTGTTAGAAGGCGCAGGGAGCAGCACGCCTCAAAGCATCCGGCACATCGATGCAACCCAGCGCATCTCAGGAAGCGCGTGTCCCGGTGGAGGACCAGTCGGTCGATCTAGAGGACCTGCGCTTGCATGACTACAGGCTGTTCCCACATTCAAGAGTCGGCTAGCCACGTGTCGCCGGTTCACGGGTTGTATACGTGCCTGCTGCACAGCAATTAACTGAAACTGTCACGGGGCTCACGATCTCCTATAGGAGATGCAGCGCATGCTCACCAGCGTGCGCCCGGCAGAAGAGAAGTGGGCAGAGACCTGAGAGAATCACAGCTCATCCCACATTTTTCGTTTGCACGCCTGGTAACCGTCGATGCTCGAGAGATGCCACCGAGGCGAGCTTCATCAGAAGGATGCAGAATCGCAGCGATTATTTCACGCCTTCGGAGAAGATCCTGACCCTGCAACTGAGCTGCCACAACCACCCACTATCGGAAGTCGCCGACCGAGTTTTTTGATCTGCAGCCTTGGCATGAGGCACAGTGACTGGATCTCCACGGCTCCAGGAAAGCACGTAGGCCCGTGGAAGCCCTCGTCTACCATTTACTCGCCCACGGGGCAGCAGCTTGGTTGGATTCTCCGTGTTTCGTCGCGAGGTCGCCGAGGAGGGACTGTGCACCAGAGCGACCCAGCGATCGAGGGTGCCTTGGCGGATAGTCAGATATTGACCCGGGACATGCAAACTGCCGAGACAAAATTCTCTCCGTTTGATCCGCTCGGGCTGGCCGTGATCGGCTCAGGCGACTCAGGGTTTGAAGACAAATGTGACAACGCGCGATCCATGACGATATGGCTTCGAACAATGATAACTAGGACCGAAGTAATTACGGCAGGAGTAAACGGTCACCGAGCGAGATACTGCCGCACAGCACTGTTGCATAAATGGGTTTACCTTCATGAGATCGCTGCTATGCGCGTTTTGCACGCCCTTTGAAGCGACCGCAAAACATCACATGCTTTCTGGAGCCGACCAACCCTGCTACTCGAGTGCCCAAGCCAACAGCACGGCGCGGCTGCCGTATGCGCAAGACAGTGTCTGATCCAGGTCAGCCGCTGTTCAAAGGAGGTGCAGAGGATGTGTCGCACAGGCTGAAGCGAGGCTGGGTTTCCGCGGCTCTGAGATCTCTGAGAGTCGAGTTGCGTTCCGACAAGCCACAGGAAGGGAGTCGGACAGTCGCGCTGCGAGCACCACCGTCAGGTTGCTCCAAGCTTATCCTCCGGCCGCAGAGCAATATCCGGCTCACCATGTCCATCCTCGGGCTGATCGCCATCGTTTGGGATGTCGTGCGGCCCTCGGCCCTCGGATGTTTCAGAGGTCTAGAACAAGCTGTGCAGGTGCGGATCTTGCTTGCAGGACAGAGCATCTCGAGCCAAGGTCTTTATTCCAATCCAGGCATTCGATGATTTGCCTGTCTACTTCGATGACTTCCTAATGCAAATGACCTACGCCGCAGCAGGGCTTCATTGGATTCTGGAGATTTCACGAGGGACTCTACGTCCCCAGCCTCGGACGGCTATGTGAGGTGTTCGCCTATTGGTTTCTCGACTTTCTTCTCCAGTTCGTCTCTGCCCCGGAAACCGGCAACCTAGCTGCAAAAGCTTTCAGTAGTTCAATGCTAGAGCGTTGGGGCCTGCTTGCCGCCCGTCCTTTGCCATCGGCATGGGCCGGTGACTAGTGACTGGTGTGACTATGCATGATTCTGCTTTATTCTTGTAGCTTCTTGTGTTGTTCTGTTGTTCTATGCCAAAGCTAGATGCCAGCTTTGGCCGGGCTTGGCAGTAGGAGCGAGTAGGAGGTGGTAGTAGTAGTAGTAGTAGTAGTAGTAGTAGTAGCAGTAGTAGCAGTAGTAGCAGTAGTAGCAGTAGAAGTAGAGAAAGAAGAAGAACAAGTAGAAGTAGTAATACTAATAATACAGTAGTAGTAGTAGTAGTAGTAGTAGTAGTAGCAGTAGCAGTAGCAGTAGCAGTAGTAGTAGTAGTAGTAGTAGTAGTCGTTGTGGTGGTGGTGGTGGTGGTGGTGGTAGTAGTAGTAGTAGTAGACCTCTGTCTCTCGCTGCTGTCTGGAGTGAAAGGTGCTAGTGGTTGTTTCAGATGGGTTTGGGCGTCGTTTCGTGAATTCGTCTCTAGGATTCTCTCTGAATCTAGATGGGGTCTAGCAGTCTATCATCGGTGAAATAGTTGCCTTCATAGCAGGTGACAGAAGGGAGTTGGGCATCTACTGTCGCATGCCTGAGAATGTATACATGTTTTGCGGCGTCCACACTGGGGTTAAGACTGGGTTTCGATGTGTCATGATGCTGCTGATGTTTGTCTTGAGAGGGTGATTCTGAAATCAGGCATCTCCATGGATAATCTGTCATAGCGTTTACATGGGTCAGCGATGCAAACGCGGTACTGAATCATATGGGGAACCCTTGAAATGCCTCCGCGTCGGACTCAAAATCCATGTTTTGCATTTTGTTCCCAATAGGATTGGACTTGGTCGTAAGCTCTTATGCGACTTCTCATGTTAACCCTACGATGACTCTTGCCAAGCCTTCTAAATGTACTTGCAAGCCCCCAACCCTTGGGCCCCAAGTCCTAAACTCAAAACCCCCGACGTGGACCCAGGAAGGTCTTTCAGGGCGTCCGCGAGATCCTCTTGGCCGGTGACACTAATCGCCCCGCGGCTTTCGCAAAGCTGCTTCGGGTTTCAGGGCGTGTTGGATTTCTGATCCATGGTTCGGAACTATGGGGTTTCGGATCTATAGTGTAAACCAGGTCTGGGATATCGACTAGGCTTATAGGTTTTCGGATTTATGGTGGGCGTGGGTGCTGTAGGATTCAGGAGGACTTCAGCCGCCACCTAAGCCTCTTGCAGTTCCAGACCCGGGAACCTTGGTATGATTGCGTGCTTAGCGACGAAGCCCCACCTCCAGAGAATCATATACTCCTCCCACAGATTCCTTAAGCATCCTTATAGATCCGCGATCACTCCCTATGGACTGCTTCTACACCCCGATCGAACCTTCGACTCAGGTCTCGTAGCAGAACTTACGTTTGTCCGCATCAATGACCTGGCTGCTCCACCCGAGCCGCGCCTCGACACGAAGATGATGGCGGCTGGAGTTTTGGTTGGGTTTTGGCCGGAGTAGCTACTAATGCCGGTCTTCAGGATACCTTATTTCTTAAAACTAATATATTACACCAAAACCCTACTGTAACTGTTTCCCAGTACTTCGGCTGCTGCAATGTGGAATTTGAAGCGCGTGGGGTGGGTCGTCGGGCCTTTGGAGTTCAAAGTCCAGAGATACGAGGCCTGTGTGCTTTATTAGTGTGCTTTTGTTTTCCATGATCCAGATCAGAATCTCTCGGTGAAGCCTTGTTGGAATACCTCATTGCGGGACACAGTAGGATGCTTTGGTACAGGATTGGGGCAAGGCTTTCCTAGTGGTGAACTTCTCCGTCGTTGTCCGAAGGCTTCATCCACTCTTGTTGTTGGAGCCGTTTGTGGCCCTGCTCATCGTTGCCAATGGCGTGATGCTGCTTGGGCGGCAAGCAGTTTCAGAATGCTGTAGGCTATCGCGTAGCTCTCACCTGCACCGTGGGCCTCACACTCCCATGTTTATACAAAGTTGATCCCAAGCCCGGTACCCTAAACCCTCAGCGCTACTCAAGCCCGGTTTGGACTTTCGGGGTTGCACTGGATGGCCTCTGTAGAAGGCTATTATAATCCAAGGTGCGATAGGGTCGAAGGCGTAGGCCTTAGGTTCTGCAGGTTTAGGGTCGAGGTCGTAAGGCAGGTCTCAAGGGGTTTCAGGGTTTCAGGATTTGGGTTTCGAAGTTTTCGGGAGCGGACTTCCGCAACGCGAGTGAGGTGAGTTCGAAGCTTTTGGGCGACCTTCGACATGTCTGGAAGAGAACATGACGGTTTCGAGTTAGGTTTGGTGTTCGGGTGCATATTGTCCAGCAGAAAACGTCCAGTAAAGCAGTACCTCGACAGGGAACCTGGGCCCCAAGTCTTGGCAAACCACCACCTGAAAGGAACACCGCCTTTTAAATCAAGAGCTTCTGATACCCTAAACCCCGAAACCCTAAACCAGAAACACCAAACCCTAAGCCCTCAGCCCTCCCCTAATTAGGCCCTAAACGGTGGTTGCGGTCTTGTATCCCCTCTAAGGACTGGTGTGCAGACGGAGCCTCTTGGCAACGAAGGCAAGAGCTGGACCTCTGACAGCCCCCTTTGGGTTAACAACAGAGCCTTAATAAGTAGAACAATGTCTTGGCATACGTAGAGAGGGAGAGAGAGAGAGAGAGAGAGAGAGGGAGAGAGAGACACGTCAAACCCCTACACCATAGCCCTGACGAAAGAAACACACGAGAATAAGGAACCCCAAGACTAGTGTTACTACTTGTACAGGTTTCTACAATATCTAGGAATCAGAAGAACCCTATGTAATCCCAGCATCCTCAGAGACAGTAGACCACGGCTGCCGCGCCGACATGAAGGTTACCAATGACTGACAAACCTAGGAACCTTCAGTACCAGAACCTACGTTTTTTGAACGGGTCCCCATATCTTCCATAGCAGGCTTATAATAAGAAGCTACGCACAAGAAAGGGGTTATGGTAGCTTTAGGTAGACGGCATGCATTCCCTGCTGGCAGCACGGCACTGCTTGAGCGAGGAGGACAGCCGCTTCGAGTCCCCAAGCCCCGAAATCCCTAAGAAGTGAACACCCCCAACCCCGAAACCGTGAAAGCTCCAAACCCAAGCTGGACTTGTAAACGCTGCGTCGTCCTCCGCCCGGCCAGATGAAGCGCAGTGCTGGAGAGCTGCCCAAAAGAGCCTCAAAGATTACATCAACACTTCAACTGTGGACCCTGAATTCCTGGAGTCCCTGTACCCTCAAAAGCGAGTTTCAAATCCCTGCTCGGGGACCGGTCAACCGTGTTTGGGGGAGCGTGCACGGTCCACGTGGTCTATCGCTTGGCGATAGGAGGGAATTATGTTTCTGAGCTTAGCGAGTTTTGTAAGACAGCATCCCGGCTACAACCCTATAGACCCCGAAAGCCTTCAAACCCCAAACCCCAGAACCCCAAAGTTCCAAACCCTTATAGGAACCTCCGGGGATCCGTCTAACACCCTTAACCAGAAGCCAACCGAGGCTGGAAGATTGGGAGGGATGGCTCTACTTCGAGCTGGTCTTCGCAACTGCGCTGCTGCTGGAAATCCTGCTGCGCATAAGTGCCATGTCAGGGTTTGCGGGTTTGGGGTTGAAGGGGCGTTGAAGGGCTTAGGATTAAGAGTCAAGGGCTTGGGGGTTTACAGTTTTTTGGGCTTTGCCCAACCTTTGAGCTTCATGGCTTTTCAGGACTTTGGTTCTTTGGAAGCGGTGTGGATCCGGATTGCCGGATGGGGTCATCGCACTCTGACGCGAAAAGCTCGAGAAGAAGAATAAAAACTCTGTAACAAAGGTTTTGAGGCTTCATTGCTTCTGTTGCTCACCCTGTCTATCCACTACTCTTGTGCGGTGGCATGCCTGGTAAGGTTATGTGGGCTGCAAGGCTTTCTGGTGCGGACCGGACATGTTCTGGAACTGGCGCCTTGGCTTTGCTTGCCGCTAGCGGCACACGCTGGTAAAGAGCTTCCCGGGTTGCTGTGAAGGAACCTAATCTGAGTTACCATGATGGGGATATATAGGAAAGAATAGGGCTTCCTTATTATGGTAGCTTAAATGAAGTTCCTTAACATCAACCCAACTTAGCGTCAGAGGGGAAAGCTAGCGATCCTGAGCTTCGAAGGTGCATGCATGGGGTCTTCTCCCCCCGACATCGTATAGTATATAGTATGACATATGATGTTGTAGTATACTATATTCTGGTAGCGTATACTATATGACATGATGCGTCGTGGCACGTCCCGAGCAACGGATGTGTTTTCTGTTGTGGTCCTCTACCAGTCAGTGCACCCTTTCTTTTGTGATCCATTCAGGCTTCGGCCACGATTTTACGGGAAACTGGATGAAACTGGCATAGCCAGGACCTCCATCCAATCCAAGTCTTAGATGCCAGCGATATTACGTTATAGTATAGTATATTACAACATAGTTTACGAGGTTATAGCAGAACTATATTTTAGTGAGCGGCCGAAGCTTGACCTCGAGGTTTGACATGAGCCTCCTTCTTACCGGCATGATCGATCTTGGCCTGCGGCTCAGAATCACGCACACGCTGCCCGCAAGAATTTCCCAGAAGTTACTTTCCTGTCCCCTGGGTCAACATCATATACTATACTATAGTATACTACACTATAACATAATATACTGCAGTACTACACCAGAACATAATATACCAGATCGAGAGTTCTCTTAGCGGTCGTTCTGGTGCTTCGAAGGATGTCGGGCCTGGCTGCGCAGGGGCACAGTCTGGAAGACACCCAACGCAGATAATGCCTAGGAGCATAGAAGCCTACGAATTGTGTGCCTTAGGGTTCCAGCTATGCTTAAAGAAGTCCTATAGTAAACTATATAGCCCACAGCCCGAGTCTAATCATTAAAGCCGTTATCGTAGCAGGTTCAGATCCTGTCATCAGACATGGCAGGCCTACAGATTGCCAGAGACCAGAACACAGACATCTTCGCAGCCTCCCTGTTGAGCACCTTGCTTCGAAATCAATAGGAATCGTGCATCCTCTGGCTCTGATCCAGAAGGGCAAACCGCCTCAGGGTTTCGAGTTTCGAGGTTCATTTATGTTTGAGGGGCTGAGAGTTTTGGGTCAGAAGCGAAGTCTCGACCTCGCAAAACGTGATTCGGGTCCTCCACAAGCCTCTCGATCCAGCCTCGAACATGTATAGGAGTTGTTTTGCCTCACGCCTGCTGCCCTAAGACTGTCATCTGATCCAGGAAGACTTGCACTAGGGCAGTTGTGAGTAGAACGAGGATGATGCTGACGGTGAGGATGAACTTGCGACAATGCTGATGTCAATAGCTGCTCACAAAAATTCGCTGTTGGGATGTCGGTGGTGGTCATCGTGATGATGATGATGATGATGATAGTAGTGATGGTGATGGTGATGATGATGTTTAGGATGATGTTGACGACGACGATGATGACTGTTCATTCCCAAACGCACATGCGCAGTTGTGCCGGTAGCCAACGTGCTTGGATGACGCCGACGATGGCAAGGACGATGATTGCACTGTGATGATGCAGATATCGCTCTTATTGACGCTGATGGGGCTGGTGATGATGGCGGGGACTCCCGAGGGGATGGTACTAGCATGACTGAGGACTCTGTCGCTTGGTCAGACTCGTGCCTCGGCATGCTATAGACTCAAGAGACCCTCGTGCAGATATCTTCCAGAGGCCGAAACATTGGCGGCGAGGCGAGGGTGCCCTGAACACTGTCACGAGAAACAAGAGCAAGAAGGGAAGACCCGGAAAATGGCCATGAGAAGGCAAGTTTGGAAGGAAGGCAGAAATGCGACGGAGCGATGGAGGCCAGAGGAAACGAAGACTGTAACCAAGGAGGGGGCACTTATGTAGGGAACTTCCTACGCTTCGAGTCCTTGCCTCCGCAAGCAGCCCTGATCTTTATCTATGCTGAAGCGTTCACCTTGCAAAGCTGAGCACGCCAGCCAAGCCTGCCAAGATCACGCGGAAGGTTGAAGAACAGTCGAGTCAATCCCGCTAGACACCCCGAAGCCCGAATCCCCCACTCTAGACAGGAAAGAATCCTCAATCCACCACGCGACCCCGAAATCTCATAAAAGCTCACGAAGGTCCGTATAGTGAAGATCTTCCGGTTGAAGTTCATGAGCGAGCTGCGGCTCATGGTGAAGGGCCTGGTCGCAGGGATCAGGACACAGAGTGGTCACAGGTTAATATAGGGGCCTAAACAATTACCAAGATTATATATATATATATATTCCGGGGTTGCGAGCTAAGACTACAGTAGCATGGGCATACTCCATGCGGTAATTACAGTAGCTTGTCGTCAGTATAGACGGAAGAGCTTGATATTCGTGCCTGTCTTAATGGGAAAGAGGACCAAGAATATCAACGCGAGAGATAGGCAGCTACAATTGAACGGCATCCCCGACAGATGCCCTGTTGGAAGGAATGGGAGCCAGATAGAAGGAGCCTGTCCATCTGGAACACGAAAGTTAGTGAACAATAGATGATTGAGGTGCAGCAGATAAAGTGCTCCGTAGTCGGCGTCCTCGTCGTGGTTGTGGTTGGTGTGGTAGCGGTTGTGGTTGCGGTCGCGGTTGCGGTTGTGGCGAAGGCGGCGGTGGTGATGGCGGTGGGATGGTGTTGGTTGTGGTGGTGGTGGTGGCGGTGGTGATGGCGGTGGGTGGTGGCTGCTATGGTGGTGCAATTGTGGTTGTGGTTGTGGTTGTGGTTGTGATTCGGGCTTGTGTGCGGTTGGGGTGTGGTCATGGTTGTTGTTTTTGTTGCGATGCCGCGAGACACTGAGGATTTGAAGTGAGGTTGAACCTCTTTGCTTTCCCCGTCGCCGTCGCAGTGGTTTTCTCTGTCGTTGTTGTCGTCGCAGTCGTGGTCGTTGTCGTTGTGGTTGTGATTATGTTTGTGGTGTTTTGTTTTGTTTGCTGCATGTGTTTTGTGGTTCCCAGTTTGCTGTTGGTTGTTGTTGGTTGAAGCAGCAGCACAGCAATGATGGTAGACATATGCTAATAGTTAACTGTCGGCCGGTGATGGGTCCGCTGCAGGAAAAGGAAAACATGCCGTGTGCAACAACGGACAGACCAAAGCTGCTGCCAGGACACTTTTACTGGCCTTCAGTTTGCTGTTCGCCGTCATCTATGTGCCTCGACTTCAAGACGGCTCATGCATGTCGGCATGTCTGGACAAAAGGCCCGCTGACCTGCCATGTGAGTTCCGGGCTACGGATGGAGTTAATCCCTGAGTTCTTTTGAGTGTCGAGATCAGAACACCATCCTCCCGATCTCACGGCGTGCGACTCTCTCCCACCGATGGTATGGCCACAGCAGCTCAAGGCACCCGGCGCAGTGCGGAAGGCCTTTAAGCCGAGATGTTCCAGCAAAATTTAAAGCTTCACGTCCCGAAGGCTCATACTTAAGTACCACTGCGGAGGTTCGTCTACATGAGCTCTGTTTTCGGCATGATGGTAGATGCTACCAAGCCCAAAGTGCAGAAGGCCCTGGTACCACAGACGGACCTCTGTGAAGAACTTTGCAGAAGCCGGAAAAGAACCGTGAACACAACCTGAGCCCGAAAGCTGGCCCTGCAAAGAGATGCCCAAGGCCCAAAATTCTAAACCCTAAACCCTAAACCTTACAGCCTGAAGCAGTAAAATCAAGGTCATCTCGGGCTTCACATTCATGATGATTGGCAACAACGCAGTGACTGCAGCATCTTGGACCCATAGACTCCCAAACCCCCTAAACTAAGGCTACTAAGGAATATACGCAACATTGACATATGGTTGAAACCTTGGCTAGACGTGAGGATAATTGAGGTCTATTCCTCAATAAAAGGGTTTTGGAGTCCCTGAAAGCCTCAGGTCTAGGGTTCAGGGTCTTTGGGTCTTTAGGTCTAGGGTTTAGCATTCAGGGTTGTAGGGTTTTGGAGTCTTTGGGTCTTTGGGTTTAGGGATTTACGGTTTTCCGGGATGCCGTGCTGACCTGACTGTTGTGAAAATCGCGCCTTTTGAGAACATATGGGTAGTTCTCGAAATTTGGGTCCCTTTTTAGGTCTTCAAAATAGTACGGCACCCTTATAAACGAGGGGACCCGAATTGGGCGAACTACCATGTGCATATTCACCGTTGCCATCGTCGTTAGTACTAGTCATGCTCATCATGAATCATCCCCTGTCGAGTTTGCTGATGCTAACTCAGATAGTCACAGGGCCGATGAGATTGCCCAGTGTGGTCAAGATGATGAACATGGCCATGCTCATAATCATGATTGTGCATTGATTTGGACGCAGCGACTGACGTTGGTCTTGAGTGTGGTGGTGATGATGGTGAAATGTCGCTAAAGACAGTTTATTGTGAACCCTAAACCCATGTGTTAGCTGGGACTTCAGCCTTGACTGACATGCAAGACGGGTTGCAGCGTGTTAACACATGCAATGCCACCCTAAATTGTAGGATCCTTGTAATCTCGCCTTGAACAAGCTACCGCAAACTTTGAGACATCCTGAAGACTTCCGTAAACAATTTATGCAAACCCTTGGACGTTTTAAATGAGGGACCCTCAATCTTGCAAAGCCTGAAATACAAGGAACCCCCCCCCCCCCACTTTCAATAAATTGAATCCAAAACGACCCTAAACCCAAAACTCAGAACCCAATTTAGCGAAGCATCGGAATGACTTGCCAAGGAGTTCCACCTTGGGCCTTTCTTCGAGACGTTGCCGCTGACAATGTCTGCCTAGCACGATGTCCAGTACATGTTGTCTTTTGTTGTCTTGTAGGGTGTTTTTTCTTTGTTGGGTTGTGCAGCTGTGGGGGAGTGACCCGTTCAATTCAATCATCCCCGCACTCCCGCGGCATCTTCCTGGTTGGCAGAATCCATGATTCACGAAATGCCTTTAGGGAAGCACGTCTGAACAGGTTTACAGCCTTCCGCTGCTTCATCGGCGAGTGCATCGACGACCTCGGCCAGCCCATTCCGTCGTTGTTGGCCCGGGCGTATGGGCTGCCCTTCATCCTGGGCCCCTGCACTGACAATTCAATTCTGCACGAACTCACTAACGGATAGACTCGGATAGACTTCATCTCACTTTGTTTTTCTTGCACAGCTTCAAGAAAAAGCTTTGTTCATGCAACGAAAGCCTGGTTCGGTCGTCTATTGGCATTGCGAGTATGTGCCTACGTGCCCACATGCATGCATGCTCTGCACCTGTCACAGCTCGCGTATGCATATCTGTATATCTAAGTTCAGCGGCGCAGAAGTAGCAGGTGTGCATGTGTGTTTGTGTGTGTGTGTGTGTCGTATATTCTCTGTATATGCAGATATGCATGTTGTTCGAATATTTGTACTACATAGACATGCCTAAATAATGACTTGCGTGCGTTTATGTCTGTATGACAACATGTAATTACGTACTTATGTATACACATATATATATATATATGATGCAGAGGTGCAGGTATCTGTGTATATACGGTGTACAAACAGGCACATGCACATGCACAGATGAGTGTGTGAGTGGGAACTTCTACTGTGTACGCATGTGCACGCAGCAAACACATGCGTGCCTGCATGCATCGTTCATGTTGCTCAAAAGCTTTCCTCGCTGCAGACCTGAAGATCATGTTGGTGTGTATCGGTCGGAATAGCCGCCGTCAACACTTTGCCGGCAACCTTCCAACCAGGGCACCTGGTGGGCATGTTTGGCAACGAATCCGAACTTCAAAGCTTTTGCAGTACACGATGTTCATGCTACTTCTGTTGTCTAGTTTGAGAAACTGACACAAAGACCAGGCTATGTCACCAGCTACATGCTCGCAGCTTGGGGCATCATTGGCATTTTTTGATTCAGCGGTCATGATTTCAGCTATGGAGTTCCTAAAACCTAATCCCTCTGCGGCCCCAAACCCTAAAGCGCAAGCTTGATGCAGACCAGGTGGCCCTTGGCATCTTCAACGTGATCCTCGTGCCTTAGCCAAACAGGCTTCGAGTTGGTCTTAGCAGTGCAGTTTCAAAGGCTGGCAAACTTAGCTTGAGCTACCTAAGTCCCAAAAGCTTCACAGTAAGGCAGTTTATGTGGACATCACCATGAAAGCGGCAAAGGAAAGCGAGGCCGGGAACAGTGTTGTGAGAGAACCTGCCATTCGCCTTCTGTGCTACGGGTGCGTCTTATGCCATTACTGTGAGTTTGAAAAGAACCAGTTGCGGTAAAGACGACAGCATGGCGATTGCAGTGTCTGGCACTATAGCGATGGCGACAGTGACTATGAGGAGGCAAAGGCGGAAGAGGGACAGTCCCGGAGTGGGCAAAGGAGCAAGAAGACGGAACAAGGATGATGATGAGGAGTGGACGGCGATGAGGAACCGGGCGAAGACAGCCATGGTGGTTGTGGTGGTTTGTTTTTTGTTGACTTCGCCAGCTGGTTGTGTCGGGGGGCAGCGGTGGCGGGGCGTGAGTGGTGGTAGTTAATTCGTGTGGCGGTTTGACTGGTGATGGTGTTGGGTGTTTGGTAGTATAGGTCCTGCGATCTATGGGGCTCAGCGTCCCGGAATTCTCCCCAGCGACATACACCACAAGAAGCCCCGTGCACACTTTCTGGCTTATTCCGGTGGATTCCAAGTCGTGCCCTAGACCCTAAACTAAACTCTGAATCCTAAACCCTAAACCCCAAATCCGTAACCCCGCCTACCGCTGCAGAGGCCGTCACCGCAGAACAGCACTTCCACGATTCCACATCGGCAGTTAGGGGTGTAGTTTAGGGTTTAGGGTTTAGGGAGTTTGGCTCAGGTGGTACGGGTGCATTGATTGCACGAGGTGCATGATCCCAGGGTGAGGACACCTAGAGGAAGATCACTGTCCCTATCCGGTGTTGTAAGTAATTAAATGTTATAGCCGAGGAATCGATACGGGTCGCGCGGACCACACGGGAGTTGTTGAAGAAATTTGCGGCAGCCTACCGTCACACGGCCCAAGTCGTCGGAGATTTCGGGCTCGTGTTTTCAGTTTCTTGTCGGGGAGCTGCTGCAGTCAAGTCACCGCCACGAGCAACTCTGCATCTTTGTCACAATGCAGCATGTCTACTGCGCGTAGCCGGCGCATTGGCCAACCTCTTGAAATCATATTGACATACTGGGTCACACTGGCTGCATATGGCAATGTGGCATGTTCCATGAATTGCGTGAAGATCGTCTGTTTTGACAGCGTATGGAGTGTAGCAATTTGCGTGACAGACTTGGGATTGCGTGCTCTGCCCAGGAAGCAAGTCACATCTCCGTGGTTTTGCTTAGCCCAATATGCTCTACGTGTTTCCAAGGTCTCTTCCACGAAATGGAGGATGAGCATGCGTCGCACCTCGACATCACATCTTCTGCCGTTCTTTTCACGGATGAAGAGATTCAGGACAGACACATGAAGCGATGTCGTGACTTATTGCTTATCTCTTCCTGCTCTATGCTGCCTCGAGATGGTCGTCATGCACTGCTGGTCCGCAAGCTACGATTGCTCCTACCATCACGACGGCGACAACGACCGCTCGTATTGTCATTCTAACTATTGTTAGGTTATTCGTTTTTTCGTGCCTCTGCTGCTGTCTCAGCCATTGCTGCCGCCGCCCCGCAACTGCAGGCACAAAGCAAGGACAAATTCACATACGGAAAACAAGCCCTGCACCTCGCAGCAAAGTCTAGAAACAGCGCAACAGCTCTCCGTGAAAGGAAGCCTTTACTGGCAAGCGGAAATAGGGGGAGGTGGCAACGTAGGGGACTGAAACAGGGCCAGGAAATTCAGAGGGGACGTGGCAGTGATGGACTAGAGCGAAGTCCAGCGCCCGAAAGCATACGAACACAGGTGACGGTTTCAGTCTCGATTTGGATGCTTCAATAATTACTTTGGGCAAGATTGCTGCCACTGTCTTGCCACCACTGCAGTGGCAATGCCGACAGCGGACGATTTGCTTCTACTCCTGGGGCAGTGGATGCTGCGGCTGCTACTAAGTCGCTGACGGCACTGGACGACTATGCCTGCGACAACGACTGCTTCTGTGAATGCTCTAACTTCTGCTGCTGCCAACGCTGCGGCTGTTGCAACATGCGCCGAAGGGTGTCAGTGCCTTGGAGGACAACATTACGATTACGAAGGAGCTCTTTCTCCTTGTGATCCAAGATCAGGAAGTGCAGAGCTTTGGCCGCGCTTTAGCTGGGCACCAGTCAGATCCCGCACGCAGTCCCAAGTCTGCTTCTTCAGGGTTTAGGGTTTGGGGGCCCTAAAGCCTAAACCCTAAACCATGACTTCTAGTCATCGCTGGGTTTAGGGAAGTTTGGCTCTGCTCTTAGGCTCGTAGCCTGAAAGTTTAAGGCGGCTGATGGATGACTTGGACATGCCAGTGGACAGGGCGAACATGCTACCTGCTTGCACATCCTGAAGAGCTGATCTTGGGGCTACCTGTGGTTCCTGTCTCGTGCTGAAAGACCTGCTAAGACTCATGATGCTGCATGAAGCTTCATGAACCGTATTCTCAGTCGTTAGCATTATCAGACAAGCGCAGCAGGCAAAGCATGCTTGTTCAGGCATGTATCCTTGAGCCCCAAACCCTAAAGCCTAGACCCTAAACCCTAAACCCCCAACAGCCCTCAACCCCTCAACATTAACTGCGACCCCAAATCTTAGTGCTCACCACCTTTCAGCCGACAATTTCAGAAGGACGGTCCGCCAAATTCCGAGTTTGTGCAGGAAGGGTCTAGGGTTTAGGGTTTATGACGTCCAGGGTTTATAGAGTCTATAGGGCTTATCATAGGATATCCGTCATACCACGTGGTATGCTCAGCTTACTTTTTTATTCTTGTGCGAACCTCTATGTAAATTGCAGATCACTTCCAATGCGGGCCACCCAAAACGGGAGACTTGTGATGGGTGAGCGACCTTCACTGCCCGCGTTTTCGGTTGCAGTAATACCGCAGGTTCGAGATCATCGATGCCGATGGTAGTGGAAATCTGCAAATAACAGAGCTGGTCCAAGGCGCTGTCTTCGACCTGTAGTGGGATCAGACATGGTGCTGAGCAGGTCGAGAGGTTTCGGAATCTAAGTTCCACCTGAGGGCGAAGGGCTTTAGGCTGTGTCCCGTTGTGTGACGTGCACCTGGTGGTCTAGTAGCTTTGCTGGTCGTATGGATATGTCTGTATCTTGTTCTGCTCGTATTTCCTTGCTATTGCAGTATTTCATGATGTGGTTCTCCTAGCTGCGTACAGCATTCGCATGTCTTCGTTCTCGGACAGCATTGCACCACTGTAATCTTGAAATCGCAATGTAAACGGTCAAATGTGTTTTCAGCTTGTGTGTTGGGCTCTTGTACACTTTTGTACGTAGCGTAGGAAAGGGATGTTATGCCATCCTGTTTCTGACGCCGTCACCCACTTCTACTTTCTGTGGTATCTGGTTTAGTTTTGCATCCTGTGCAGGGCTGCTGAAAATCCGTGGCGAGGCCGGGAATGTAGCTGGGGTTAGGGTGTAGAGTTTGGGGTACCTAATGGTCAATGGTGTGAGTTTCGGGAAATTGTTGGATATGTTCGTGTCGAAATAAATTTGACTACCTACTTGCCTGGCTCGCTAACTAGCGCACTAGCTAGCTAGTAAGCTAACTAACCACTATCTAACTTACTCAGCATCTCACAAACTCTCTCACTAACTAACTCAGTGACTAACTAACTCGCTAGCTAGCTAGCTAGCTAGCTAGCTAGCTAACTAACTAACTAACTAACTAACTAACTCACTAGCTAACTAAGCAACTAACAAAACAAACAAACAAACTAACTACCTAACTAACTAACTACCTACCTGCCTGCCTACCTACCTACCTACCTACCTACCTACCTACTTACCTACCTACTTACCTACCTACCTACCTACCTACCTACCTACCTACCTACCTAACTACCTAACTACCTAACTACCTAACTACCTAACTACCTAACTACCTAACTACCTACCTACCTACCCAACCTACCTCCCACCGATCCACTGACCCACCTACCCACCTCTATCTGTTTGT